CCAAATACTCGGGACCATTCAGACATACATAAATACAATGAGGTTCAGCTAAACCATCTTCCTGAGCTTTTATCATGGATGTGATTCTCTTCCTTTTCATACGATTGTTTTGTTCTTGTCACAATGTGTGGAAGGAGTTGCTCTGAAGTTAGAAAGAAGTACAGTAATAGAGCTCACATGAAGTCAAATTCTGCATTGACTTACTACACCGGCCTCATCTCTCGAATTTCAAAGGGGTTGTTATGGTGTGAATGTCAGTGGAGAATTGAACCAACACAAATCACAGAGGAGAACTATATTAATCAAGCTTAGCATTAAGAGCATAATATAACAATACCAGTCATCAAGAACACCATTGTGTTCTTTTTTCTAATGTCAGAGAATCTATATAATAAGATTCCAGGAGAGAGAGAGTGTGAGTGAGTGAGTGAGTGTGTGTGTGTGTGTCACTCTGAAGTTGGTCCTACAATGACTGAAGTGATGGAAACAGCTACAAGCGTGGTGCAGAGAACTTCTTGTTTAGACTATCACCAGGTTCAAGCATCACTAGATTCGCCGTCTGTTACCATCCCATTTTGAAGTTCTCAGCCATTTTGACTTGATAAGTTATCCCCATTTGACAGCACGGGGCTTTCAGCTACTAGTACAGAAATATCTGCTACAATGTTGGGTTTAGAAAGTCAGTGTGTATATCCAAAAAAAAAAGGTAAAAAAGACTTTGCGTATTGATCAAAATATACTGCTAAAATCTTTAAAATGCACCAGCCAATAAAAGCTCAAACCTGAGCGCCTAAGGTCAGGCACCCAGATAAAAACTGCCATTTAGTTGCTTAAAAATAAATTGGAATGTTTAGGACTGGGATTTCTACAGGAGCCTCAATTCAATATGAAATTCCAGGGTTGTTGAGCACCTAACTTCTTCTTGAGCGCCTTTGCAATCCCAGCCTAAACACCCAGTTTTGAACGTTTTAATTAAATAAGAACACAAGAGCTGCCATACTGTACGTCCAGTGTCCTATCTCCAGCAGTGGCCATACCAGAGCTTCAGGTGGAGTTTACAGAACAGAGCAATTTTGGAGTGATCCACTCCCAGCTCCTAGTAGTCAGAGGTTTAGGATCTCCCCAAGCCTGTGGTTGCATCCCTGACGGTTAGGATTGCCATCCCTCCAGGATTGACCTGGAGTCTCCCAGAATCGGCATGGATCTCCCGGTGACTATTGAAAGCAATCTGGAAGATTTTAATAGGATATTTTAAGAAAATGACATTACATCATGTTGGGAAAAATAATTTCCCAGAATAGCTTCAGTCAGAGTTGGCAACCCTACTGACCATCTTGGTTAATAGCCATTGCTGGACCTATCCTCCATGAACATAAGGGGTTGTTTTCTGAACCCAGTTATACTTTTGGCAGTCAGAACATTCCAGGACAAGGAATTCCATGGTTAGCTGTGTATTGTGTGAAAAAGTACTTCCTCTTGCTTGTATTAAACCTGCTGCCTATTCATTTCATTGACTAACCCCATGTTATTGTATTGTTGGAAAGAGTAAATAACACTTCTTTATTCACTTTTTCCACACCATTCATGATTGTATAGACCTCTGTCATATCCTCCCTTAGTCGTCTCTTTTTTGAGCTGAACAGTCCTGATCTTTTTAGTTTTTCCTTGTATGGAATCATTCCACCCCCTCGATCATCTTTGTTGCCTTTCTCTGATCCTTTTTCTGTTCCACTATATCCTTTTTGAGATGGGGCAACCAGAACATAGTGTGGGTGCACCATAGTGGCAATATGATATTTTCTGTCTTATTTTCTATCCCTTTCCTAATAGTTCCTAACATTCCATTAGCCTTTTTGACAGCTGCTGCGAATTGAGAAGAAGTTTTCAGAGCACTATCCAGGGTGACTCCAAGATCTCTTTCTTGGGTGGTAACAGCTAATTTAGACCCCATCTTTCTGTGCATCTGGGTGGGAGTGGGGTGGGATTATTTTTTCCAATGTACGGTACTTTGCATTTATCAATGTTAATTTTCATCACCCATTTTTTTTGCCCAGTCACCCACTTTTGTGAGATCCCTCTGTAATTCCTTGCAGTCTGCTTTAGCCATAACTATCTTGAATAATTTTGTATCATCTGCAAACTTTGCCACGTCACTGTTTACCCCCTTTTCCAGATCATTAAAGAATATGTTGAAGAGCACAAGTCCTAGTATAGATCCTTGGAGGACCCACCGTTCACCTCTCTCCACTGTGAAAACTGACCATTTATTCCTACCCTTTTTTCTATCTTCCATCCAGCTACTGATCCACGAAAGGAACTTTCCTCTTATCCCATGGCTACTTTCCTTAAGAATCTTTGGGGTGGGACTTTGTCAAGGCTTTCTGAAAAATCCAGGTCCATTTTGGCCTACAGCTTTTCTCGTTTTGGAAAAGATGATCAGCTTTGATTTATTCCCTTATTTGTTGAGCTCCATTTTCTGAGTGGGAGCTAGGTGGCTTTCAGAGAAGTTGCTGTAAGTTTGCTTGATGGACCTGGCTTGTTAAACTACTGAGTATATAAGCCCAACTGAGCTGTCTGCACCAAAAAGTTTAGGGTAATTTTGACATAATTGTGCTACATTCCTTGTGCCACATTAAGCAATTTGAAATAGCTGTGATTATAAACACACAAGCTGAGGGCACACGCTTTCTCATTGCTGGACTCTGTTAAGATTACACTTCTTGAAAGCATGATCAAAAGAGCAGCATCAATTATATGATCTGAATACCACCTCTGTCTTATAATAACAGCTGTAAGGGGGGAAGGAGGCCTGGCTTTATCACAGAACTTCCTGTGTGACAAAGGGCAAGTCTCTGAAGCTTTCTGTACCATCTATAAAATAGGACTGTTAATACCTGCTTCATGGGAGTGTTTTCAGGTTTAATTAATTAATATTTGTAAAGTGAACATTTCTTGGCTGGAAGGGAAGGTGCCATATACATGTGAAGTATTAGTATGAACACTCAAAGACATGATGTCAGCCATTTAAGTCAATGATTTATCCAGAGTCTTCTCTCATCTTTTGTTTTCCTAATAAACAAACTTTTTCTTTCTTTACATGAATCACATGTAAAGTCTGTAAGAGATTGTGAGAGTTACTTTTTCAAATAAAAAGCATCCATTTGCTTTGAGAGTATTTTTGAGCTCTTTTATTTACTTTTGCAAATGTCTGTACTTCTTACATTTTGTTCGGAAGAACATGTTTAGGAAATTGGAAATTATACAAAAACCTTGTGCAAATGCCAGTGGACACGCTGGTTCAGGAAATACTAGACATTTCGGAGTCATTCCCCAGACTTAAGAAGGGGAATACTTCCAGAACCAGGAATCCCTCTACAGATGGCAATCACTTTATATTCATGTGACTATATATTAGAACAAGCACGCATGCAGGAAGTGTTTGTGGTCCTATTGAAAGCAGTTTGCGTATTTGGAATTCATCTGATCAGGGTGCAGAAACTCCACTGTTTAACTTGTGAACAATCTCACAGCACAAATGTCAGGGAACAAAGAGTAAAGCAATGCTTGCAACAGGCAGTTCCTGAGTAACTGACAGGATAAACTATCTTTGCATTGGCCCAGATGTTGCAATGAATGAAGTCAATGGGATTCCATATGGGCACCTGCGTGGAGCTCATTATAGGATCAGTCAGAGCCTTCAACTATTCACTGAACAATTCAGAATAACTACATTCTGTGACACTGTAAGCTTTTTGGGGCAGGATTGTCCTCTACTACATGTTTGTTTAGCACACAGCATAATGGGGCCCCAACTCAGTGTGCTTCTAGGTGCTTCTGGAATAGACGTATTAAATAACAAAGTAGTAAAAAAATCACATTCTGCTTGGGAAAAGGGTTAACTTTTGTCAACTAAATTGTTGACTGCGAATCCTGTGCTCTCTTGTATGTACTAGGGAGAATGTGTGGGGAGCTCCTTTCCTTATATTTTGACTGTAAACCAGGTTCTCTCTTTTTGTTAACAAACATTGGCCTATTGATACTAACTGGAAATTGGAAATGTCATTACCGGTCATACAAAGAAAAGGAGTCAAATAATTACAGGGGGGCTGAGATTATTATATAACGTCTCCAGCAGGCTGCAGATATTCTTGTGCTAGTAATTTTATGCCAATTAAACTTGTTCAAAAGAATTAAGTCAGCTATGAAACATGCTTGAGCAATTGCCTCTGCTCTCCATGAGTTTAGGGCTATTGTTCTCGCTCTGCATAAATTCTTTGTTTTCAGATTCAGAATTATGGATTTGGTCTGGGCTGTACAAAGGACGATACAGCAGTTGGGTACCCATAATCCATTGACAGTCAATGGAAGTTGGGAATCAGACTCACTCTCTTAGACTCCTTGGAAAATGACGGCCTTAAAGTATTTGAGTGTGATTTTCAACAGGGCTTAAGTGACTTAGGAGCACAAGTCCCATTGAAAGTCAATGGGATAAGGTGCTTTTGAAAATTTTACCCACTGATCCTCAGCTGGTGCAAATCAGCAAAGACTACACCTGAACAATGCCGATTTGCACCGTCTGAGAATGTGGCCCAACATGTAATTAACAGTAACAACTTGACATGGCAAAAGGATTTTTATCGTTGTAAAGGGAGCACAGGGAGCAGCCTGCAAATCAATGATAGCTTTGCTTAACTGCAAGTCCGGGCCAAATCTGTTTATGCATGTGCAGTATTAAATGACACTCCTGCTAATGGGTTCAGATCATTTTAGTCAGTGATCTGAATTCCTTGTAGCTATCAAGGTGCTGCTTCTCTTTTCCTGCAAAGGTCACATTTTATAAGACGGACTTTTCTGTTTGGAGAAAAGCAGAGGCTACAAGCAGAATGACAATCTTGCTGGGTCACTGTTTACCCAAAAGCCTTTCACTGGGGCTCAGAGGAATACATGGAGCTCCTGGAGATTAGTGCAGAAATAAAAATAAGTGGCTCCAAGATTCTCCGATGCTACCTCCTCCCCAAGCACTTCTGAAATTTTTACCCATCCTTAAGGAAGCAAAAGAAACCCAAAACAAAAACACAAACTCTGCAAATTACTCACCACCAGGTGGAGAAATGCAAGAAGCAGCAGAACAAATCACCACCTTTTATCCCAATGCAGAATTTTGTGAACAGAAAAGTAAACGTGGGGAAATTTTACCTTGGCAGCTTCAAAGGGAGGCAGCAATAATCCAAATGAAGAAGCAGAAATAGCCGATGGGGGTAGACAATATAAATGAGATAAGCCAATCTTTGGGGTAGTGGCCTACCACAATGGGGCCCTGACCTGGTTGGAGTCTAGGCACAATAGCATTATAAATGGTGAATAATAATAATATGGACTTCAAAAAACTAAACAAATACGTGCCAATAACCAGTGCCTAGGCTCCCCAGTGAAGCAATCAGAAATACAGCAAACAAGAAATCTCTCAGATATCTCTTGCAACACACTATTAATATATTAATAGATTAGGTGACCTGTTCTGATAAGATACATTGCTAAACTGATAACTGTCTAATGGTGCTGCTTCCCTTGAGCCTGATATGGTTTGAGTTGAAGCCCTCAAGCACTGAGGGAGTTCCAATGAGAATGAAAGTTGGGACTGAATCTGAGGGAGCATTAGGAAAAGAATTCTGTATTTGAAAGGGCCATCCAAGCACAGAAGACACAGGAAAATAGGGGGTTTGAATTAGCAATGGAGCTTCAGTGCAGATTCTCCCTAACTGCAAATCAAACAAATGAAGGTCAGAGGGATTTCCGGACTAAATGGCACAATGGAAGAGGCCAGCTTGTCATAGCTCATGTGAGTACCCCCAGTAAGGGTAAGGTTCAGCAAAGCACTTAGTATGCGTGTAAGTCCACCCCTATTTAGCAAAGCACTTAAGCATGTGCATAACTACTTTAAAATCGAAGTCAACATGACTTAAGCATATGCTTTGTTGAATCAGTGCATTAATGGTGCTACCAGGGCACTCCGGTATCTGGCTATTCAATAAAATACGCACTCTCTGTCCTTATGAAGTGTATATATATTTTCTTTTTCTTTTCCATTTTAAAATTCTTTCTTCTTGAATATGTTTGGTGAGACAGGCGGACAAGAATCGGAGCCCCCAGCCCTTCCACCAGAGCTTCCACTTGCACCTCAAAGAATTCTGAGTAAGAATTTTTAAGCTTTCCTTGTTACAATATTTTCATGCATTAAGAGGAACCATGGTGCAACCTCTTTGGGCAAGGGACCCAGAAAGAATTTTCCAGTAGTGTTCACAGATCTGTCCCTCATTATACTGGACCTTTAGCAGAGGTTAAATAACCTCAGAGCCCTGAGTCACCTCTTGCTTGCACTTATCTTACCTTTATGTAAGTCCATTGACCTTGGTGGAGTTCCTCCTGATTAACATCAGTGTTAAGAGGAGGATCGGGTTCCTCTGTCAGATACTGCATCATTGGTGTTGCTGGAGCACAAATCAAAAGCTACAGAGCCAAAACCATCTCTCCTATAACCTAGGTGAGGTCCCTCAAGTTGACTAGAGAATAATTTGTACCACTGATCCCGAGTTTATTGTTGCAACAGGTTTATAGCTAATGAACTAGCTAGGAATTTACATTTGAAACTATAAAATCTTACCTGTTTCTCAAAAGAAAAGTGAGTCTGAAAACGGAGGGTAAGTGAACCTCCAAGTTTCATGGTCTTAACCATATCTTAACCATTGAGCCAAACAAACTTCTTTTTACATCTTAAGTAAGATGGGGTTTATTCTTATTCTCTGGGGTTTATTCTTATTCTTAAACCCCAGAGATTATAAAATGGGGGAATTTCTGATGGCTGTTTGGGGTCTGTGTAGTTGAAAGACAATCTCACTCCAGTCCCCAGCACACACATATTCACATAAAAAAAATCACAACCATAGCTGACATTTTTGGCAGTCTCAGAAGAAAGGATCGGATGAGTACAGAGAATGAAACATATCAGTTCTACTAGAGGTGTTCCTTCAGAGCTGGGTAACAATAGTGTAGTGCCCCTATCCACCTGGTTACCTCCTTTAACATTAAACTCCTTAGGGGTTTTGATGGACAGGCCTGGGTTCATCTGGATCCCGCCTCCAGCTCAGCAGGGTGTAACGTCCTTATTTTCTTCCCATAGGAATGTATTTAGCGATGCCTCCCGCCCCTCCTCGCTCCTCCTGGCAGGGTCATCAGGGCAGCTTTGAAGGAAAATTCTAAGCACAGGACAACGCCCACTTACTTGCCAGACAGTTGGAGGCTCCCACGAAATAACACAAGCGCACAGTATATTCAGGAGAGTAACTATATTAAACAGGAAGTAAATATAACATAATAGGGTAAACCACTGCTTTCAGGTGCCCATGCTGATAATACCCATGAATTTCCCCAGTCACGTGACCTGACAGAGCAAGGGTAAAATGTACTGTCCCGTTGTTACATGTACTTTGTAGGGGGCCTTCATGACCTGTGACAGCAATAGCTTCTGTGGAGCAATTAGTAACTTGGCAGACTTGGCTCAGCCCAAACGACTCACACACGAGTCCCTCCACAGGTTCGACAGGCAGCAGGTAATAAAATCCCCAAACCCCACCCCTGAGCATGAGGACACAGTTCAGAGAATAGGGGAGTCTTCCAAACAATTTCCCTAACTAAAGGATGGCGCACTCACAACTCCATGGATGATCCTCAGGTTCAGAGCTGGAGCTGAACTCCTCGGTCACTGCACTGCAGAGGGGCTGACAATCACAGTTGGCAGGCGTCCTCTTCATGCAGGAATCAGGCTGATTCTGTTCCCCGGGGGGCAGGAGGGTGCAAATTATAACAACCCTACTAAAATCCTAACTCTGATCTCCTGCCCTAGCGCTCGGATACAGTCACAGCAGGCTGGCAGGCCTGGGCTAGCAGCCCAGTACTTGCCACATGGTAACTGATTTATCTAGGGAGTTGGAGGGCTAACTCAGCTGGCTGGGTAGGGAGTTTTCCCAAGTCACCTTGAGCAGGAAAAGGACCGAGTTTAGGGATATTGCCTCCAGGCACCCGGATGCCAGTTCTCAGCGGGACCCTGCGTTGCAAGCTTGGGACTCACAAACACATCACACACCAAGTCCTTTCCTTTCTGTGGCTGGCTCCAGACTCCTCCAAAATGGCTTTTCCCTTCTCACAGGGCTCCCAGGAACAGGCATCTCACTTCCTATTGGTCAGGCTAGTTCTTCTTCCTGGGCTTTGACTTGTCAACCATTTGACTCTGCCCCGCTCCTTTCCCCCAGACACTGCCCCTGCTCTGAGCAGGTGGGCTGGTGGCCATCCACAGGGCCAGCTCCAGGCACCAGCTTGGCAAGCAGGTGCTTGGGGCGGCCACTCCGGAGAGGGGCGGCAGGTCCAGCTATTCGGGGGCAATTCGGCGGACGGTCCCTCACTCCTGCTGGGAGCGAAGGACCTTCCGCCGAATTGCTGCCGCAGATCGCGATCGCGGCTTTATTTATTTTTTTTTTGGCTGCTTGGGGCGGCCAAAACCCTGCAGCCGGCCCTGGCCATCCAGGTACACCTGCTATCCTCCCCGGAGCTGACAGGGCCCCTGTGCCTCGAAACAGTGTCTCTCCTCTCTCCCTCTTGGTTGCCTAGCAGACGTTGAGTCTGCCCTTGGCCCCCTTCCTCCCAGGGACAGACATGCCCTCTCCCTGAGTTACAAGCACACAGAGACCCAGGAACCAAGGTAAGTTCTTTGGGGGTGAGAATGAGAGAGAGCTGGGAGGGAAGCTTGCACAGCTGTTGCATATGCTATACTTCTTCGAGGGATGCATAGACTTCAGTATCCAGGGCCATCAACATAATTTTCAAATGGCTGTACCAAAACGAGTTAAAAGGCCTGAAAAACAGGTCTTCAGATATCTTTACAAAAGAATGCCTGCATACCTCCAAACCTGGCGACGCCATCACTGACCATTGTGTCATATACCTTGTGGAATTTTCTTAAAAACCCAGCTCCTGGAGTCAGGGGATTCTATAAGCATCTCATCTTTCAATTTGTCTGTTAAAAATTATGTTTCTAGCCCTCACAGCTGCAGAGAAAAGCGTGACAATAAGATCCTGAAAGGCTCAAAAACCAGGAGGCAAAAAAATAGATTCCCAAAGGTATTATTTATTAAAATCTCATGATTTGAGGGGGGCTTGTCTCATAATTTTTGAACGCTCAGGATTGGCTATACTGCAAGAGTAATATCATGCCTGCAGCTGCATTATGCCTCCCATTGAAATCAACATACTGAAATCAATGGGAGCGACATATGTTTATACAAAGGCAAACATTTTTCACCATTTTTATTATGCTTTTGGTTTAGACAATATCACGTTCTTCAGTGGGGTCTTTCAAAATGTGGACAGCGTTGCATTGTTTTTTGGTAAGTGCAGACTCATGGTTTGGTATTTTTGGCAGTAAAAATAGCATGGAATTTGTTTATAAAAAAAGAGCAGAAAAAAATCCTGAAATTACAGATTTCCTTTAAAGCTAATATCTAAGGATTAAATTGGCTGCAGTTCCTAAGGCCCCCAGAATGGCTGCTGCACTATGTCAGTCCTTAGACCAGAGGTCCCCACCCTCTGGGGCGTGTGGAGGAACGTTCGGGGTGGGGTGGGGGGGAGACAGAGGAATGTTCAGGGGCATGTGGCACGGCCCAGGCCAGCCCCCACGGATGGTGGGGAGGGAGTGCCACCCAGCCCAGCTCCACTCCCAGTTCTGCTTTGGCCCTGCCCCCAGCCGTGGCTCCGCACCTGTCCTCAGCCCCACCTCCAGCCTTGGCCCCTGGCTGCAGCTCCATTTCCAGTCCTGCTCCCAGCTACAGCCCTAGCCTTGGCCCCCTTACCCCACACTGGGGAGCCACACTGGGGAGCCACAGCCCCACTCCCAGCCCCGGGGAGGGGGACACAGATTGGGTAAGCGGGGGTGCGACCCTGAAAAGTTTGGGGACCTCTGCCTTAGACCCTGATCCTGCATTTGAATCCACGGAGGAGGACCCCAGCAGCTACAGTATCATCCAGGTCTTTCCCAGCTCTGACTATCATCCTCCTATGTCTATTCTCTCTTAGACTGCCTGGGTTCTCACTTCACTTGGCTACAGTCCATATTCACTAACTTCCCTGCACTGCTCCATTTCGTGAACAAAATGAGGTGTGTAACTGGACTTTGCCCCAGGGATTTCGAAGACTACGGCTGCTCTTGCCGGTTCGAGATGGAAGGGCTCCCTGTGGATGAAGTGGACAGGTGTGTTTTGTTCCTGGGAGATAGTTCTCCTGGGGTGGATGGGTACGAGTGGGGAGTAACAAAGTGTGGTGGGAGGTGCAATGTTGAACTCTTGCAGCGACAGTCTGAAAGTTAACACTTGGCTAAACTGCTTATGGTCATAACTAGGGGACCCTTAGCTTTACAAATGGATGATTGGCTCACATGCTAATATCCAAGTATCCAATCTGTGCTTACCTGTAACCGCTCATCCTCAACCAACAGTGTCTCCAGTGACCAACGAAACATAGGATATAACATCGGTTATCCTGGCCTCCTAAACGATCATTGTCCTTTGATGGTGCCATCCATTTCCCAGTCACCAGCAATAACAACAGCTACTTGGCAGCACAACCCTGGAACCACACAGAGCAGTAGCTTCCCGAAAGGCTGTTTTCAGTGGTCTAGGGATAATTTTAGAACTGGATAACCCCATCCCCTGGTTCTTCAGGCCTGGATAGTAACCCCACGTGTTGTGCGTCTCCCTTGCTGTCCACAGATATTGGGATTTATCATCCAAGCCTTTATTTCCCTGTATACTCTCAGCTGGCAAAATGTGGACCCCTCTGCCCCTGAAATTAAAAGCAGGTGTAGTCCACACCTCTACACCCATATTTCACTGTAACCCTGGCTGTGAAGCTGGGCTAAACTGGTTGCAAAAGGAAACCACTCCTGAGAGGCAGCGGATTCTCTCTATGTACATGCTCATTGTCATAGTACCTGACCATCTAAAGACATTCATAGGTTACAGACCATGGTAGCACAAAGCTATTCTCTTCATTTTACACCTGGGTAAACTGAGGCACGGTGTGATTAAGTGACTTACCTCAGATCACACAGGACATTTTTGGCAGTGTTGGGAACAGAACCATAAACTCCTGACTCCTAGCCCTGGGCTTTAGCCTCTGTCCCTGGTGGATGGATCCTTGAGGGTAATTCAGTCCGTGCTCTTCCTTACTAGGCCAGTAAGGTAAAATATAGGACAGGAGGCGTCAGTGCTGAGAGTCCTGTTTTCTCATGGTCACTTGAGTGGGGAACACCGGGAAAGAAATGCAACAAGGGCCAAGTCCTGCCCAGGCGTAGGTGGGGAAAGAAGGGATTTCATTTGCGAAGTGAGCAATGTTGTCATGGCTTAAAGAGGGTTAATGTAGATTTTTGCCTGGCGATGAATCCACTGCAATCCCATATCATCTGAAGGGGAGGAAAATGGAATTTTTATCTTCCCAGCTGCGAAAAGCCACACAAAGTCCTCGTGAATGGCTTGGCGAATTGCTCTCTGAATAAAGGTGCTGACACTCTGAAATCAGAGCTCGATCCAGTTCAATGAACTGAGAGCTGAAACAGCTCTACAGCTTAAACAGCCCCTCCTCACTTATCATTTTAATGAAAAGCTGCGTAAATACAGACGCCTGAGAAGCCGCGGGACAATCTATCAGTCTTTAGCCCGAGAAAGATTCACAGACACGGCCTTTTCAAGCAGATGGATTTGAAATGGGTTAGCAGCATCTCTCCCATCAGTACAAAACCCACTGTACGATATAGGAGATACAGATGTTTGCTTTTCCATATACATATACAAGCTACTGTTCAGATTTAGAGAACCTCTTTAAAGAGACACTGACACTGAAAACATCCTGCTAAAAGAAACAGTTCTGCCAGTGCCAAGATCTGTATTACGTAGAAGTTGGTGAGTTGCTGAAGTCCATTCTCCATCTAAATTCCTTAACTCCTGATCTTCTAGTCCGAGACTGGAAAGGTGAAGCAGAGAGCTCAAGAAACTTGCCCAAGGTCAAAGAGGCAATCAGTGGCAAAGCTGGCTTTAGAGTTAATGGGCCTGATCTCCATTCTATTACTCCAATTCTATATTAGTTCGATTGCATTGAACTTAATAGAGTTACACTGGTATTAAACTGGTGTGACCGAGGATCCTGAGATTCCAGCTGGGGTCATTAAAGTGAAGTAGTTAAATAATACTTTGCTGCTCACGGACAGCTTCCACCAAAGGATCCCAAAGCACTTTGCAAATATTCATGAATTTAGCTTTTCAGCACCCCTGTGAGGGAGGGAAGTAGCATCATCTCCACAGTCTGATTGAGCCAATTCAGTCTCGATGAATCTAGGCCTCAGTCTCTAAGGTACTTAAGTGCCTAAATCCCAGATTTAGGTGCCTAAGTGGCCTGGGATCTCTAAGAGATGTGGGGCTTAGCACAGTTCTGCTCATTGGCCAGCTCCCCGCCTCTACTGGCTTTTATGAATCACAGTCTAAGGTGCCTATCCATCTCCATTCATGGTACAGGAAGCCTAGGCGCCATGTGATGCTGAGCATCACAGCACTTAAGTACCTTTGTGAATCTAGGCCTGTGACATGCCAAAGGTCCTGCAGGTCACCTGTGGCGGAGCAAGGAATAGGAACCATTTCTCAATGGTCTCAGTCCAGCACAACACTTAATATTAAATTAAGTGCTTTGCTGGATCAGGATCTTAGTCCTGTATCTTAACCACAAAACCAAATCACCCTCCACTAGCTTTCCCTTCTCTGATGCTAAGCGGCAAACCCCTTAATGTTGCATGTTCAAATAATTCCACCAGCGAGAGAGAAATAAAGGACCAACTATGTAGGATGTTTCCTTATATCCCATGAAGGATTCCACCTATAAAGACCACACAGCGCTCTACTTTTACCCCCTTGCTCTTTCATTCTGCAACCTGCGCCTTTGATGCTGTCGGTCTGCAGGGCGGGGCTCTAGGTTTTGTACATGGTTTGAATTTACAGCACTCAGCATGGTCTGTATGCGTCCCAAACCTTGCCAAGAAGCTCCGGGGAGGATTTCCTCGACGTGTTACTGTAACAGGCAGTTCATCTTGGCGATCACAGGCTGTAGCCGGATCTTGGAAACTGGATATAATTGTAATTGTCAAGCTGAAGACTATGTCAAGGCTTTTCTATGGAATGCTGTCATTCCCATCTTCGTTTAATATCCCCCTGGTACAACGGTGATGCTCAAGTGCAGTCACACCATGGAAAGGTTCCAGCAGAGATAGCAGATGGCTACCAGTGAGTGGAAACAATAGACAGGTCAAACATTCACCATTTGTTAGAACAGATGCTTCCTTTTGTCCTCTGCCCCTTTTAGTGCTTGCTCGTATTTTAAAGACAGTTACACTATAATACAAAGGGTGGCTATCACTTGCTCCTGTTCTGTAGAGAACGTACATGGGATCAAACAGTTGGAGTCCACCCAGTGTGGACACAATCCAAGGCCTCCTAGGGGATCCCTGTTCAGAAGCAACCCCTGGGATTCTCATAGCCTCAGACATAAGAACGGCCATACTGGGTCAGACCAAAGGTCCATCCAGCCCAGTATCCTGTCTACTGACAGTGGCCAGTGCCGGGTGCCCCAGAGGGAGTGAACCTAACAGGTAATGATCTAGTGATCTCTCTCCTGCCATCCATCTCCACCCTCTGACAAACAGAGGGTAGGGACACCATTCCTTACCCATCCTGGCTAAAAGCCATTAATGGACTTAAAATCCATGAATTTATCAGACAAATCTTTTATACCAAGACAACAACATCCTAGGCACAGCCCATATTAGGAGCCCTCCTGCTTGCCTTGCTGCTGAGAGCCATGACAACGTCAGAAGATGGAGATTGTCTTTGCCTTCCCAGGCAGCACAGGGGCAACGGAACACACTTGGAATGGGGTAGAATGAAACAAACTGCTCACAGGGTACAACCATCCGTGGCCCAAGACAAACACCAGCCTATTCCATACACGTGGAGGAGGATATGGTGCTCATGTCACAGCCTTAATAATCCCTCCGAATACCTGTGGCAGAAAGATATGTCTGATTATCTGTTATGAGGAGGCAGAGGACCCAACATGCAGAGAGATTAAATGAATTCCCTAGTCCCATGAAGGAAGTCAGCCGTGTTCAAACACAGCAACTCCAAGTCTGGTGTCTTGCCCCAGGACAGTGGGAAAGAGGCTTGCACCTCCCTGAGTGATCTGGGGGGCTGCCAGGGGCTGGGGCTGCCCCCAGCACTGGGATGTCCTAACTTGAACTCTTTCTGCCATGGCTTTTGCAGGAGCCAAGAAATAGCTGGGGCATAGAAATGTCTCCTGTTGGCCCCTCTGGGCCAGGGAATCTGGAAAGAGGAACTAGCAGAGCCAGCTCTGTGCTTGGCAGGGAGACTCTCTGTGCCTTAGGGCTCCTTTGCACTGACACAGTGCAAGGGGGCTGCAGCAAAGTGGGGAGAGGCAGACAGATTCTCGCTGTGCTCAGTCTATTAGGCCTAGTCAGCCATGAGGGGGAAAAGGACCACACGCCCGTCCTCTAGGGGCCAGAGGAATGAATGCTCCTTACTGACAAACTAGTCAGAAAAAAAGGGACACCCCCTTTTCTCCCACAGCATCCTGTACACCCGCCTGCTGCCCAGTGCGTCACCACCCCAAAGGGGAGGCAGGCAGTGAAGTGAAAATGAAGGTGTGCATCCCCGGCATTCTTCTCGTTGTCTTTTTTGTTTCTGTGTTTCGTTTCTAAGCTGCTGTTTCCAGCACCGCAAATGCTATGAAGAAGCCGTGGAGCTGGAGTGCTCATGGGACCCTGCCAAGATATCTATGGACATCAGCTGTCTTACGAAAAACATTACCTGTGGTAAGGTTCAAAGGGGACTGCTGCCTGTTACCAGGGCTTTGTACTGATCGGGGAGAAGGGGAGTTGCTTTTGCATTTGTACAGCGCCTAGCACAATGGGGTCCTGGGGCCATGACAGGGGCTGCAATGATATAAATAATAAATAATAATAATTCCCATTAATTTACTGAGAGCCATGTATAGACCAGGAAGAAATCACCCATGATTGTCTTGTAGGTCTAGGTATATTTAATCCTGCCTCGGTGTGGAGGTATGGCCTAGATGGCCTCTCAAGTTCCCTTCAAGCCCTGGGTTACAGCTCTCTGGATTCCAGATGGAATGGCTGTTCTTGTCACGTACCGATGCTAGTCAGAGGTATCAATATTCAATTGGATGTAAAAACAAAAATCCAGGAACTGCTACAGGAAACCCGGTGCTGGGCATCCCCGATGGCAGGATCGCTCTCTTTGGAGGCCATTTAGCATCGTTTGGTGCATCTGTGCGGCTCACACATGTAGCTGACTGCCCAAGAATGTGGAATGACATGTTTTTAAAGCTCTGTTTGTCTTTATTGAACCTCAGCTAAGACTGTGAGGCACTCAGTTACTATGGCAACGGGGGTCCTGCCAAGTACCTAAGAGAGCAAATTTATTTTATGGCCAGAAGGGACCATTGTGACCATCTAGCCCAACCTTCTGCCTAGCACAGGCCATAAAAGTCCTCCCAATGACTCCTGCATCGAGCCCAATAACTTGTGGTTGAGCTGAAGCGTCACTTTGAGTGATGAGGAGCTTATCACGTCCATGATAAGGCATGGCGATAAATATTAGCATTTCATAACAGTGTCAGTGTATTGCATTGGTTGTCTTCATACGTGTTCGAAAAATACTTGGTAGTCTGGCCAATAGCATCAAGTGGAAGATATCCATTGTGAAAGCCGTATTAAATTATTATTAAATTGTGCAGTAGCACAAGTCAGGCACCTTCTAGAGCTGGTTTCCAGCTAAAGATCAGGCAGGACTGAACGGGAAGCCTCGGAGGTCACTTTAAAGAGGTTATTTAGACAAAGACACTGACGGGTCAGAAGGGACAGGGCATTGCGTGCGGTCCTTGGTGTCAGCTCCACTCGCTCACACAAGGAGTTTTATTTCACTTTATGGGAGTGCTGCACAGTTCCCCACACAAACTGGACCCAGCAAGGAAATAAGGAATTATGTCATTCAGCCTCCTAGCTACCCTCTGCTCATCATGCCCTTTGCTTAACCACAAACAATTCCCTTCGACCATCCAAGCCACAGCCCCATCTCATGCCAAACAACCAACAGGCAGCTTTCATTTCCACCAGAAATATAATACACCAGCTGAGAGGTGGTCTGATCAGCAAGACGTTAAAAGTGCTGATGAGCCCAGCGTGAACCAGGACTCCCAGCACTGATAATATTGGAGCTGCTCCGGTATTAGCAACCATGGAACAATTTTACAAAACACACAAATAAGCCACACCCTCCGAGTCTGTCAATCAGCATAGAGAAAAGCAGACATGCCAAACCCGTGAAAAAAACGCAGAAATTGGGCTCGTTTTTGGCTTAATTGGCTTGTAGCTTGTTTGGCTTGTTGCTTGTTGTAGCTTGTTGCTTTTTTTTGATTGGCTCCTGACAAGCAGGGGCAAGGGGTGGAGAGAGTCAGGGGTGCACAGTGGGCTCACCACAGTCCCAGACTGCACGCTGGGGGATCCAGTCACAAAGAGTGCTGGGGTTCTTACGGATTGGCTTGTTATGGCCTTGTTTTGAAATGGGATTAGCTTGACTTTTGGCTTATTGTGAAAGTCGGGGTTCTTATTTACCACGTGAAAGTTGGCAACTGTGGAGAAAAGGGGCACTGAAATGACTTTGTAAGGGGAGGGAGCTCCATTCAGCTCTGGTAAAATCTGAGCAGATGTTACCCTGATGTGCAGAAGTGATTTTTCACTCCTCTATATGGTTTCTATTTAAAACAATTTCCCATCAAGCACTAGTCCTCTGTAAAGCCCAGGGGCCAGATTTTGATTGCTGTTACACCAGTGTAAATGTAGAGTAGCTAACGCATTGATAGCGCCACTCTGGGTTAAGCTTGGTTGAACTAACAATCTGATCCCACAATCCTTTCTAGTCTCACACCAAAGCCATTTTTGCTTTAGCTCGGTCTTCAAAAAAGCACGTCACAATGGGGAAAGTGTTTTTCTCCGTCCCCCTTTACTGGAAAATGGCAAAGGTATTTTTGTTCAAACTGGAAAAAAAGAATTGCCCTTGCTTAGGGTGTCAGCCTGGAAATAAACATTCTTCTCAAAAGTGAATTTGTCAGAGTTCTCAGTGTGGGAAAACAGAAGGTTGTGATGGAAATTGTTTGGCAAACTGTACTGTAATGCAAAGCACGTTCTGTAATATCCCCTACAGTAAATACAATGAGAGCTGCACCAAGTACTATCCCTAGCCAGCAATAGCCAGTGGTAGAATGGAAAAACAACAACATTTACTTTAAATGTCACCATGAATTTCCCTAGGATAATTCAATCTTATTGTTTTGTAAAGCCGGAGTTTATTTATCCTTGGTACTTGCAGAAACACAGTATAGGTTTATGTTCTACAAAATGAAATGGAGCTGTCGATGGAAAGCCGGAGAGGCAAAGGCAGATGGTGGAAACAGATATTTCAATGGTACCTTGTCTGGATTTTTGTTTTTACTCCAGAGTCTGGGGATCCTTGTGAACGGCTTCTCTGCAATTGTGACAAAGCGGCTATTGAGTGTTTTGTCCATTCACACATTAACTCTTCCTTGAACGGCCTGGATGTCTCCTTCTGTCCAGGTCAGGTTACAGGTAATAATAAAGGGCCTGATCTACTGACCATTCAAGTCAATGGGAATCTTTCCATCGGCAGAAAGGGCACCAAATTGGATCCAAGGAGAATAGTGCTGCCGCTGGTGTCTCGGTTTCTTATGCTGCAGATGGCATCAGTGTCTGTCCTGTTCTCTGTTTCCTGAATCTTTTCCATTTACCATGACTCAGTGAATCCTAGTGGTAGGAGGGTGGGGATTAATTCAGGTGATTTGACTAGATGGCCAGATCTACAGAGCAAGTTTGTATGTGTATGGGGCCGGACTGACAGCCCTGAAGGCTGAAGTCCTCTCTTTGCTCACAGTAAAGGTAATTCATGGGTGAGAGGGGAGACAAGCTTCCCCACTCTGCTCAGCTTATGGGACCCCTCCCTGGCATGGCAGAGTGTAGGGTGTCAGTATGAGAGGGGTATTCATCTCCATTGCCATTCATTGACCTCTAAGGCTGCCCAAAGGGTGGCTAAGCTGGGCTATAATTTTATTGCTATGGACACTTGTTTAGTGAGATCCCCCAAACTCGTTTCAAATAGGTCATCGGACAGATTATGAGATGGCGACGACTTTTGGACACTCTGGCCTTGGGCTGGGTTTGAACTAACAGGGGCAGCTTCTCAGCCCAGCTCAGTGGCCATGTTTCCAAAAGTGCTTAGCAGCCTGTGTGTGTGCTTGCAGGAGTCTCAGGGAAGCACCGGAAACATTAGAGTGCCTAAAGGTTGCTACACTTAGCTCATTTCCACAGCCTTCTTTTTTCAATCTGCCAAGTACTTTACCAATATAAACTACTTAAGGTTCTTGGTAGAGTTACTCCTCCTAGAGCCCTGCAAAGCTGGCAAGTGCCATCCCTACTCTATAGACAGGGAAATGGAGGGTAAGTGACAGGCCCAAGAGCCAAGATGTGAGCATGGAAGAGGGAAGTTCACCTCTATTGAGAGAGACCCAAAGCAAAAAGCTCAGGGTTTGAATATAAAAATGGTTGTTTCAACACAATTCCATTTCACAAACCCGCTCAAAAGGTTTTGTTTTACAACTGCACCGAAAGAGCATTATTGTCCTGCCGACCGCTCTGCTTAGTACTGAGGTTAAAGATAGATTCTCTCGGAGGTCAGTGATCCCCCCGACTAGTTTGGGATTCAAAGGTTCCCAGTTATATATCTTGGTGGAACAGAGCCCGCATAAATCAAGAAATCTTTTCATTTGATGGTCACCATGATGAGGCTCCACTCACCACGCTGGTGCCTCCTACTGGTCGTCTTAGGAATTAGCTCCGCAAGTCGGTACACCCACTCCTAGTGGGGCCTCAGCCGCTGGGACTTCTGCTCCCGGACACATGTCACTCCAAGGAAGGCAGTGTTCTCCTCATGACACAGCCTCCGGTCATGTCAAGATCTGTGCTCCCCCCTTCCGGGGGCAAGTGCTGCAGTCCAACTGTCCCACCACTTCTCCAGTGATGACTGCAGCCAATTGTCTGGCCACTTCCCCAGTGGCCCCAGCACCCTCTTTGCCCTTGCCTCAGGGCCTCAGCATGCAAATCCCAGCAGCCAGCCAGGAGCTCTTCTCTAGCTCCCCCATCTCTGCTAGCAGCACTGCTCTGTCCAGGGAGTTAGCTTCTGTCTGCCTACTAGGCACCCAGTTCTCTCTCCTTTAGCTCCAGGGTGTAACTGCCCCTGCTCTGCCCTGTGGCTCTTCTTATATGGGCCTGCTGAGCCCTGATTGGCTGTTCCTCGCAGCTCCTCTCCTATTGGCTGCTTTCTGCATAGCCTCCCTAGGGCCCTATTAACTCCTTGCATGCCAGTGGCCCCATCATAGTCACTCATTTGGTTACCTTCCGGTATAGCTTCACTGTGTGTTTCAGACTTTGAAAAAAATGCTTCCTAACAGTATATCACCTATGATCTCTCTTCTTCTCAGAAACAACTAGCAAGAAAGGATTGACAACACTTCATATGGAGGGTATGTCCTGAGCTCTACAATCCTTTGCCTTTAACGTATTCAATTTATATCAGCTTATTGATCACAAAAAAAGCTAGTGCACACTTCAGCAGAGGGATTCTTTACAGAAAAGCAAAGTGCAACACCTCTGTAGCAAGATGCTAAAATACAACGGGGAAAGTTGTCAAATGTGCTTAAGGAGCCTAAGTCCGATTTTCAAAAGGTGACTCAGGCAGGTTCCTAAGTCACTTTTGTAAATGGGATTTAGACTTCTAAATCATTGAGTCACTGTCACAGGGTGACTGGCTCCTTTAAGAGGGAGTGGGGTCCAGTGCCCATGTGACTAGTTGTCTGCTGCCAAATGGGCTTCAGAGAAAGCACCTGGGCCTTATAAAGGGGTAAACGGCAGCTGAGAGAGAAGAGCTGCTGAAACGGTTTAGGACGGATATAGCTGAGAGCCCAATGCACACAGGCCCAAGTAAGGGCCCGTGAACCCCTGAACTCAAGAGGAGGGACTGACTCAGCAGAATTTGGGAAAGGCTGATAACTTTGCGGAGACAGACCAAGGAGGAGGGGCTATGCCCCATAGGAGTCTTGAGTGGAAGAGAGCTACTTTGGGTGTATTTCATATTAATAAACCAGTCCCCAAGAATGTTGCTTGTTATTAGACATAAAATCTCTGTGGATTATTCCGGGGAACCACTGCAGGAGAAATTGAGGAAGGCTGATGATGAGCCATACTTGGCCAGCAGGGGGCACTACAGGCAGGCATGCCCTTTGAGAGGTGCTTTGAAAATGTTACCCACAATGCTCATAATTTTAAGAGGTAGTTCTGTGCGTCCAACTATGGAAGAACATATTTATTAAAAAAAATATAGACTGGTTCAAATATCCAAATTCCCACGTGTGTGTGTGTGTGTGTGTGTGTGTGTGTGTGTGTGTGTGTGTGTGTATCTAATATACATATTCAAACACCACTGTTTTAAAACAGGCTGCCTCCCACATGTTAAAGATAGCAATGATAAAAGGATCGGATTCATGCCATTTTACATGCACACTCTTCTAACTATAACATCTTAGGCCCTGATTCAGCAAGATACTTAAGCAAGTGCCTAATTTTAAGCATGCTCATGTGTTAAAGGTAATGATGTTCTTAAGTACCTTGTTGAATTGGAGCCTTAAAGAATAATGATCATGAAGGAGTTTCAGTAAATGTTTTCAACTGAAAGCTCTGTCGGGCAGGGCCTGGACTTTGTTCATGTTGTACAGCACTGACTACAGGGTAGTGTCAGCACTGAACCAATAGTACAGCAATAATGAACTGAAATAAATCAGGTTCCACTTGCACCAGTATTGCTAATGACTGTAGTCATGTTACACTCAGTTGATGCCTCTTGAATTGCCCATGAGCTGATTGTGTTTTTATGGCTAGTGCATTGCTTTGAAATGAGACCTCCTTTATTTTTGCAGAGCTTCTTTACCACCGGGGTGATAAACCACTGCTGACAACTACTTCCATGACAGAAGGTTTGTGCATTGACTCTGCAGAAGAAACATTTCCAACAAATTTCAGAACCAGTGAAATAAATAATCCAGGGAAAAGACTGAAATATGCTCTGAGTTAACCAAAAGGGCTAATATAAAAGAACCTACTATTGGTCCTGTGAGCCAATACAAGACTAAGTCCCAGAGTATAGTGTTTTGGATTTGTAGGTGCCCTCTGCTGGGAGGACTCAGTTTAATATTTATACACAATACAACACACAATGACAGTCTCCAGCCAGAATCGTTTCAATGCACTGGAATGTGCCACGTGTCATTCTGACGTCCAGGATCAAATCGTGAAGTCACTGCTTAGCTTTTACTCGAGGAAATTAGTCAATGACGTCAACGGGAGACTTGCCTTAATAAGGACTTCAGGCTTTGACTCATAGTGAAGTCATTGCATTGTAGGGTGACCAGACGTGCCAATTTTATAGGAACAGTCCCGATTTTTTTGGTTCTTTTTCTTATATAGGCTCCTATTACCCCCACCCCCGTCCCGATTTTTCACACTCGCTGTCTGGTCACCCTATTGCATTGAGATGGGGGAGGGGACAAAAAAGATTTCACTGTAAGAGGACTTCAACTTTAGAGTGAGCCAGTAGAACAGACTGCTCCTTGAACAGACCTTTCAAGGGAATGGGTCCAATCTACGTAAATCTGTGGGGTTGTGTGCAGGGTTTTACCTCTGCCCTCCATGCAGAGAACGTATGCTGGGCTGTTGCGGGGGAAATCTAACGCTCACCTTAGAGAAACGCAGAAGAGAAGCCAGATTAATGTATTTCTCCAAAGCCAAGCGCGTCACTTGTGGGGAAGAGGAGAGGCTGCTGCTTTGAAGGATTTTCCCCATAGCAGGCCGGCCATGGGATTTCTTAGTAGGGACATGGGAATGCATCGTCTGTTATTGCTTTAGGTATTAGCAAGAAGGGGAGCTGGGCAAAGCAGACAGGCTAGACAGCCTCTGCACTCCCAGGCCAAATACACTGTCACCAACATGCCTGATCGCCGCTTGGCAGAGCCCAGGTGCCTTTTCTGAATCTAGGTCCCTGAACAGTGGGGTTGCTCTGAGCCATCACACCAAGCATGAGTCTGGAAGAGTAGAAAATCCCGAGGTCGCCTGTGAATGTTAAGACAATACCGTGTGGTTTTTGTTTTTAAAGGAATTCCACCTGCAGCCAGCAATACCAGCTTGAAACCCCCCACTTCCGAGTGTAAGTGAGAGTGTTACTTCATAGCTGTCCTACCCCACATCTCTTACTTTATCGTTTGCAGCTTGCTTTTCTGACCGCACAACAACTCCAGTCTCGGTTTGTGTATTTACAGTTACTCCCAGAGAGCTCAGCAGTGCCCGGGGGAGAACGCCCAAAGCAGAACGTGAGTGGCAGTTTCTGTATTTGCACATCTGTAATGATCCTTTTCAAAAAACATAACGATAATGAGGCATATGTAATTAGCACATCAGCATGAGACCAAAAATAGCTGCAGCAAATATAAACCTTTATTAGGAAATTCACAAAGTTGGAAACACGGCTTGTAACATAGCTAGTAAATATATCTGGTAAAAGGAGGGTGGGATTCTGAAAAGCACTGAGCGTTGGACCACCTCTACTCCCATTGATATCTACTGGAGTTTTCCCATTGACCTTATTGGAGCAGAGTTAAGCCAGTGCTGAGTGCTTGTCATTAGAGGGCATCTATGCTTTCTTACATCAAAACATCCCAGAAGCGAACGCTAACTACTATGGTATAAATATGCAGACACCAATTTTAGGGTCATTTATGATCTGCATTTCTAAATGATTAAAAAGCAGGCGAAAAAAGCACTTCTCAGGATGAATTTAGCATGCAAAGGTAGTGCTGCCTAATGGTTAGGAGAGGAGAATTGGGTTTCATTTCCAGCTCTGTAAATGACTTTCTGGTCAACCATAGACAAACACTTAAGAATCCAACCCAGCTGTCCACTAATTATGGGTGCACATCTTAAAACTTCCACAGGGACACTATTGAAATTTTGGGCCTTAACATCTTAGGTTTACTCATCTGTAAAATGGGTGTGCTATTATATTTCCACTTTAGAGTAGCGTTTGTGGGGCTTATTAGTAATGTAAAAAGCATTGCGAGCACCTAGTGACAGGTGTATTTTATAATGGGATCAAAACCATTTATCATTTTATCCACAAAACACATTTTCATCTACTGCAAATAGAGGAGAGAGTACAAACCTCCAGTGGTGACATTTTCACTTTTCCCACCCTATCACAAGGCCTTGTGCAAAGGCTGCGTTCACCATCTTTGCATTTCACCAAGGTCTGTACTTCCTTACAGTTTGTTTTCTGACAAACGACTCACATTTTCTGTCTTCAGTAGCTATTTCTGCTGAGCCCAGGGACTTGGTCCCGAGGACTCCCAAAGCAGGAGGCCAGGAGGTTTTAGTGGTGGTTGTATTTTTCTGGCAAATCAGTCACTGTAAGCTCCATGTGGTCGTACAGCAGCATTAGCAGTACTCAGCTGATCTTTGCGAAGCTGCCGACTCACTGCCCCTGCCCCGCAGCTAACGAGCAGTTCAGAGCTCTAGCTCAAGCCAAACCTGAAGTGGAATTCTCAAACAAGTCACTGTGTTACCAGCATGGCCTGATCCTGTAGCCAAGCTCTGAGCATGCCTAAGACTTGGCTTCGGTGCCTCACTCCAGGGAAGGGTTCAGGCCGAGGATCCTGAGTGGAGGGAAGATCCTATCTTTGACCCATCCGCCGGGTGCACCAGCTCAGCTGCATAGGTGCCTAAACCCCTCTCCCTGGCATTTCATCCTGGCTACCTTCGATTGCTCCCTGCTCAGGTTACTGACTCCTGAGGCTCGTTCTCTTAGGCCATAACTTGCCCATGCATTGTATGGGGAGCCTGGGCACCTAACTCGGGGCTGAAGATTTCATTAGCAGGCAGGTCGCCTGGGGTTTAGGCATCACAGCACTGAGTGGAACAAATGCCTAAATCTCTTTGAGGACCATTGCCTTAGCATCTCTGTGCCTCAGTTCCTCATCTGGACAACGAGGTAATGCCGACGGTTGGTTGTTCTTTGAGAATCTCAGATCAAAGCCACTAAACAAGTACGGTTTGTTTGGTTCACTACCCTAATGCGTCTGCTTTCCGATCTAGTTATCGCAAGAGATCACGAAGGCATATCCACGTCCTTTGTGGATCCCACACTAACAGGTAAGTGAATCTTAGAGCTTGACTATATGGTGTCACAGTGTGGACAGGGTGAGAATACACCTGCAGATGTGTGACAATAGCATGGCACTTGGTAACACAATGGTATTTGAAGTGATTACTATAGTAATATTATGGCTCACCTGCTTTGAAATCTTTTTTTTTTTAAATCATCTTTCCTGGGAGAAAAATTGTTTTTTTTTAAAGAGATAGCCAAGTTAAAAATCTCACATGAACTACAAGTGTTAAAATTGAATTGGGCATTTCACCATTTTTATGCTGTTTATTTTCTGCCTTTCACTGAATTTGAGCAATGAAACTAGACTTGTCATTTCCACTTCCTGCTGGAGAATCTTTCAATCAAGGCAAAGAACCATTTTCAGTGAACATTTTTTAAATTTCATAAATTATTTCTAGCTGCAATTTCAAAGGCCCAACCGGGAGTTAATTGCCCTGTGCGCCTTGACTTCAATGCACTTTGTGCCTTTGAAAATCTAACCCTCCGTTAACATCAGGTTTTCTAATACAATGATCCTTTAAAGTACATTCATAGATATTACAGCCAGAGGGGACCATTATAATGCTCTTTTCTCACCTCCTGCATAGCATTGCATAGAATTCTTTCATGACCTAAAAGCTGCTTAATATTTTGCAGTTACTACAGTGAAGATCACAGCCACGCCAGCAGCTGCAACTGAAAGTAAGGAGACAGCACCACGACCCCTGGTTTAATATCCTACAGCACCCTTTTATTTTCAGTTGACCTTTATGAGGCTAATTCAGATGAACTAAACTGGACCAGGGAAATTTCAGGTGACACTGAATATGGGAGGGAGCCGTGGGGGGGAAGAAGCAATTTTTCATCTGTGCTATCTCTGACTCAGGTATTAGAATTATTTGTACTGCAATAGTGCCCAGGGCTTCCAGTCAGGGATCAGGGCCCATTGTCTTAAGCCCAGTACAAACACATACCAGAAAGATGTGTGTCTGCATCAAAGAGGAGTTATCCGCCAAGTTCTTGGGCGATTGCTCCAGTTAACAAGCACCTTCTGAGTTCTAATCCTGCCTCTGAGACTGGTGTACTCCAAAGCTGTCAACAAGTCATTTTACCTCTTGGCCTCAGTTCCTCCATCCGTGCAATGGGGATAATACTACTATTATTGATAATGCTATTTTTCTGTACTGAGAGGGGTCTAGCACACTTTTGGGTACTGTATAATAAACAATAATATTAATGGTTTCAAACCATTTCCCAATAAACGTGGGTTGCACAAACTAACTCCACCACTTCAGGAGACAGTAGTTAGTGACCCGCTGGAAGACAAAGGACAGAATGAGCATGGAGACTGAACTACCTTCTCACCCCTGGGAATTTGGATCCTGCAGGTCAGGTGTGAGGCAGATTGGCAAAGCAGTGAAGGGCAGCCAGTGTTGTCTGGTCTGTGTATAGAAATATTACTTCAGTCTTGATGGATCTCAGTGCAGCACCTTTCACCAGCTCTAAGTTTGCTTAAACACAGAAACGTTAAAGGTCCAACACACACATCCCAAAATCTCTGGGCATCGCACATAGCAATCGCTGTTGTCTGGAATGTGAAGTGTTGTCGCTGTTCATGGCGAGATGCCTGCAAAGTAAAGCATCCTAACTCTGGTTATACTGTCTATGATGATTGAGCATTGCTCACATTTCACTGCGTCACAACCAACAGCCCCACTAGCACTGAGCAAAGCTTCTTGGATTAAACTTGGTTTCCCCCTGAAAAAATGCATTCTTGGGTTGACCAAAACTGCACAAATTCACATGCAATAAACCAGATTGGTTCAGGAAAAGAAATTCTGAAAAAAAGAAAAATGTTTCATTTTGGCATTTTAAAAATTAAACATGTCAATGTTTTGATTTGAAATGACTTTTTGTTTTGAATTTTTCTTGTTTTATTGAAAAGGTAAAAAAACACCAGCCCTTGAAAATGAAACAAAATGTTTTGTTTTGGGTTGAATAAAATTTAATTTGACCTGAAACAACATTTTTTTTTACTTTTTGTTCTGCCAAAAAATGTTCATTTAGTGTTGACCCAAAGCTTTAAAAAAATGTTAAAGTTCAGCCACTGAACCAAAAAATTAGTTCTTCACAGAGCTCTAAGGCCAACCCACTTGAACCCCACTAAGCAATTGGTAAATACTTTATTGTCAGTTCCTTTCTTCACATGCCCTTCTGTGTGCTTTCCTTCTCACGGAAATCTCCCAGCCTCATGCCAAGGCTATCAGTCTCCAACAAAACTTGCTGAGCTCCATAAACAACAATAGCGTGTATGCAGGGGAACTACAAGAGAAAATAAGTGAATGGAGCCACTACTCTGCATTCTACCTTTCACAGTCTCTTCATGTTCTCCTGACTCACCCGCCAAACCTGAGCTAGAAGAATGTGCCACCACCTCTCATGCTGCTATTCAGTTCAGCACCACTGGGCTACTTTGATGAGGTGATGGACCGAGAACAGAGGAGTGATGAACTCAGGAAACAAACACTGACCTGCACCTTTTCTGGTTGCCCAATCACCTGGTTATGTCATTTAGCTACCTGGGATAATCCTTCACCTTCCAAGTGTGACATGCATTCTTTTTAACCTGTAATAAACACTTACCACCATCTTTAACCAGCATGACTCTAAGATACATAAGAAATGTGAAGAAATTAACAAGAGTGGGAATTTGGGGTTTCTTTCTATGGCTGGCAGTTTAAGCCAGTTCTGTCTGGGATTATTACTCTCTCCTGCTATCTAGGAGATCAATTTACTTCCCATTTAAATGGGCATGTTGTTGGTGATTATCCTGCTAGTTCTCCTTCTTGCTTTTCCTTTTCTCCCCATCAGTTCAGAGGGGGCAGGAAGGCGATTTAATTGTAAGCGTACCTTCAGGAGTTACAGAGGATGCTTTCCCGACGGAAGGGCCAACCACAGCCACAGCTGGTATTAACTCAACAGGGCCAGACGTGATACCCACTGAAAACGATCCCACCATGACAACAGAACAAGGTGAGTGTACAACAAATGAAATTCATTTTCTGTTTCAACTTAAACCACGTCCCTATTCCTGTTCACAGCTACCCAGGCCCAGTATTTCCCCAGGCCATGTGGAGTGGCACTATTACCTCCCTAGATTTATGTATTATCCACATATGGACCTCCTAGAATAACATTGGCTTTACTCACAGCAGCCTGTCACTGTGCAGAGCATAGATCAGAAGAGGTTATTGACCAAGGCTATAAGCAGGTCTCACCCAGCCTATTCCGTTTGGAACAAAACGGTTTGTCCACCCATGAAGGGCACACGTTTTAAAGGATTTCAGTCACATTGCTGGCTCAGCGCCTATGCTTGTGGAGACGCTATAGATAGTGGAACGAGGAGAGCATCCTCTTGCCTTTGTGCGACTCTTTCTAATGCGAGTTAACATGTATATCGTGTGATCTGCAGAGACAAGCTTTAAGATAGGAGAAGCGAGCACAGCTTCCTCTGCGATATCCCCAGAAGTGACACTCGCTGAGAGGGGGCCTGATGAAGCTGTCAGACAAGGTAGACATAATGGTTTTCTCAGTTACATCTAATGAAAAATGGGTCACGCTGTATAGCGAAGGTACGTTTACAAATGGTTAGGCTGTTATAAGCATGTTACAGACACGGATAGCATGTGTTATTGATGGTTATAAGCGCCTCAGCCGTGATGTAATAATTTCGCTAATACCTTCCGCTGAGGCGCTTATAACCATCTGTAACAGTGCTGGACTCTAACGTTCTATGATTTCCCATTTATTAACATATGTAGCTGCCATTAACCCCTTATAAACCATTTGCAAATGTACCTTTAAATTAAAAGGTGGATAAAAATGGACTCGGAGAAGGGATGTTCACTTGCTTTGTGTTTTTAAGCAAGTTTAATTTCCAGTCTAAATTACACTTTATTGCCTGCAAGTATCAGAGGCAGCAAAAGGACTTTTTCCCTCCCAGACTCTCTCTCTGCTCCTTAACAGCTCCACTGTCCTCTCAGGCTCCCCATCTCAATCTTATTTTCAGCACCTCGGTGCAGAGTTGAAAGAGTTCTCCAAGACGGCTAAGAGCTGTCACTGTTGCAGGCCTCAGCATGCTTCGTCAGGAGATCTCCCCTGTGTGTTAGACGTGGTGACGGGAATGGCCCCAGAGCTAGGGGCTATGGATAGTCAGGAGCCAGAGGGCAGGGGCATTTCTCAAATGGTTGAATTATTTAAGTTGACTTTTAGATAATAATTACTCATATTCTATTAGTGCCCAGAGTCCCCAGTCTGGGATTGGGGCCCTGGAGTATGAGTGGAACCGGAGAAAGAGGGTCACATTTCAGAAGAGACATCGTCTGGGGTGACACCAGAGGCTCAGGAATGCAAGCTGGGGCCAGGCTGTACATTTGGCATGTAGCAGCGAGAAAGATTTCTTTCCTTCAATTCTGACTGCTTGCTGCCTCACTAATTACTAAGGCCCCATTGTGCTGAGCGCTGTGGAAACACACACTCTGCCCCCAAGGTCTCTCAGTAGAAATAGACAAGACAAAGGGAGTATTATCACTGCTTTACAGATTTGGAGACTGAGGCATATAGGGATTAAAGTAATTTACTGAGGATCACACAGGAAGTCTGTGGCAGAAGTGGAGATCAAACCCAGATCTGAGTCTTAGTCCAGAGCCTTAACTGCAAGACCATCCTTCTTTTAAATAGTCAAGCAACAGGTTGCTCGCTCGCTCTCTCCTCTTAATTAGGAAATTTTTTAAAGTGGATTATGGAGGAACGTCACACACACATATCACCTTAGCATTAATGGTGTGCATGGGTTAATTGGCACAAATTCCATTTTGAAAAATGCTCCTATTAGAGCCCTGCAGGGGAGTCTTTTTTTAATCCCGCTCTCGTCCTGCCCCACAATATCCACTCCCACCCGCTCCCGCATTGTTTGGTGAATTTTTATCCTGCTCCCACTGTTACGGCAGTGAGTCCTGCGGGACCCACGGGATCCTAGTCCCGCAGCAGGGCTCTAACCCCTATTGTTCCTTCCTTCAGACACAACCTAGCCATTGTCTTGCTCCTAATTCTTTCCTCTGAGTGAGCTCTGGATTTTAATCCCTTCATTTTCTGAACGAGTGCATTGCATTCTTATTTCCGACCATCTTAAAATGGCTTTGAGAACCTTGGGAGAAAGGTAATGTTTCAGGTTAAATTGGGTCTAAGTGCAAAACATTAATATCACAACCCCTTTTAATTTGCATCTTACACTTGCAGAGCAAAATAACTTCCCCTTCATGAAAGTCTGTGTTCCCGTTTTGACTATTCTCTGCCTCTCTTTGCTTAATTATGCCCAGCTGGTTTAACAACATTTAATTACTCGCCAGTGCTTTGTACGGGAGATCTCATTTCATCTGCCTTTTCCTTCTCCACAAAGAAATAGTCATTAGAATCTATTCTAAGCAAAGGCAATTTGTGCTCAATGTAGAACAGCCAGTTTTAAAACAATTACATGGAGATAATAGGGGAGTAACCGAAGTTTGGGAGTTACTTCAGCTAGGTTTCAAGATGGTCATGGTTTTGGTTCAAGGATAGAAATATTGGGATGGTCTTTAAGAATACACAAAATAAAATAACTAAGTAAATGAAGGAAAATCTAATCCTAATGAAAAAGGCAGATGTGGGATTTCTCAAGTCATCTAAAACTACAGTGGTAGTCCCATGGGTCTAATTTGATTGAACACATTTGACCTCCTTTAACAGTGTGCTACTACAGCTGTTCTTATTTCTGTTATGGTAGTGCCTAGAGGTCCTAATCATCATGCGATGCTAGGCACTGAACACACATAGCAGAAAGACTGTAACATTGTATAATTATTTATTTGTATTACCATAGTGACTTGGGGGTCCTAGTCATACATGTGTTTGACCTGTACAAACACAAACCAAAAAGCTGCCTGAAGAGGCTTACAGTCTTGCATAAAATTTTGCTGAAGATCCCTTGAAGCATGTGGTATGTGGAAATACATACAAGCTGTAAGTCACTCACCAGTTTTATGAAAATCAGCTGGTAAATTCAGACCCATTCCAGAGGACCCGGTGAATTTAGAGAGACGTTCAATAAGGTTCTGAGGAGAGACATGGATTATGGAAAGCAGAAACTATGTAAAACGAGTAAGAATTTGAGAGAGAGAGAGAGAGTTTGTGGTAGCTCTGACCGTTCCAAACAAAGAGAAGACATGGTCTCTGCCCAGAAGAATGTCCAGTGTCAAACTCTGCATGTTACTTAATAAACAAAATGTCTCTCTTTACAGTCTGTGACAGATTCACCTTTCTGCAAATGAGAGGGAACGGAAAGGTGAAGCGGGAGCTGCCTCGGCTAGGAGAAATGCTGTTTTGCTTGACTGATCGATGCCCACAGGAATTTGAATCTTACGGCTGCTACTGTGGCCAAGAAGGAAGAGGTTATCCTACAGATGTACTGGACAGGTGCTGGCTCTTCAACAACCTGCTAGTTAGCACTGTCTGCTGTTAATCATGTTTATTACAATGGTGCCTAGGGCCCACCCAAGATCAGGACCCCACTGTGCTAGGCCCTGCCCCGAAGAGCTTATCTAAATAGATAAGACAGAAATGGTAGGGAAAAGGCTAGACCAGAGGTTCTCAAACTGTGGGTCATGACCCCAAAATGGGTTGTGACCCTGTTTTAATGGGGTCATCAGGGCTGGTGTTAGACTTGCTGAGGCCTGGGGCCAAAGCCCGAGCCCCACAGCTCGGGGCCAAAGCCGAAGCCCGAGGGCTTCCACTCTGAGCTGTGGGGCTCAGGCTTTGCCTTCAGCCCTGGGCAGTGGGGCTTAGGTTATAGGCCCCCTGCCTGGGGCTGAAGCCCGTGGGCTTTGGCTTTGGCTCCCCTGCCCGGGGTGGCAGAGCTCAGGAGGGCTGAAGCTTCAGTCCCCCACTCCTGGGGTCATGTACTAATTTTTGTTGTCAGAAGGGGGTCACGGGGCAATGACATTTGAGAACCGCTGGGCTAGACTGTTCAAGCATAGCAATCAATGGGATGGTGACAAATGTCATGTTAACGTCTCAGATTTGAGGGGTGGAGTGATTAGGAGGGGCAAGGAGGGCACCATAGGTGAGGAGAGGGAGGGGAAGAAGGTATGAGGAGCAGGTGTGGAGCGAGGCTGAGGTAAAGCATACTCAAGGAATGGATGGGTTGAATAGTAACTTGCAGATAGACAAGCTAGCCTGTTAATATAGATCTATGCTGCACTATCCTTTGGAAGGATGTAAACACCCAGCGTGAAATCCTGACCCCACTGATGTCAATGCAGAATTTTGCGTTTACTGGTGGATACATCTAAGAATGAGATAAAATTAGAGAAAATTCACACTAACTCTAAGAAAAGGGAAATCTCTTTCAGGGTGAGTTCCAGTAGCATGTCAGAGAGTCTCCCTAGGGGAAGTGATGGAAATCCTTAGCACCTGAGCCATCTCAAGTTTGACTACTAGAATATACATCATAAGGAACTAGCAGGAGAACAGACTCTCTGAGTATAGGTCTTCTCCAGTCCTAACTTATATGACTTATTGCATGGAAGGATTTAGCCATAAATATCCTCACGCTACTGGCAGTTTCCAAGTTGTCAGTCAACTAAAGTCTTAGGGAATATATGAGAGACAGATGCCCAGTTTTTGAAAACATAAGAACAGCCATACTGGGTCAGACCAAAGGTCCATCCAGCCCAGTATCCTGACTACCGACAGTGGCCAATGCCAGGTGCCCCAGAGGGAGTGAACCTAACAGGTAATGATCAAGTGATCTCTCTCCTGCCATCCATCTCCACCCTCTGACAAACAGCCATTAAATAGCCATTAATGGACTTAACCTCCATGAATTTATCTAGTTCTCTTTTAAACCCTGTTATAGTCCTAGCCTTCACAACCTCCTCAGGCAAGGAGTTCCACAGGTTGACTGTGCGCTGTGTGAAGAACTTCCTTTTATTTGTTTTAAACCTGCTGCCCATTAATTTCATTTGGTAGCCCCTAGTTCTTATATTATGGGAACAAGTAAATAACTTTTCCTTATTCACTTTCTCCACAGCACTCATGATTTTATATAGGATTACTTATGCAATTTATTACATCAGACAAGTTAAAAAAAAAAAGTCCTGTCTCTCTTCCAAGGAGCTCACAGTTGAATAAAGACAAAAGCAAAGGACTCTGAATGAATAAGTAGAAAGGCTGTAATAGTAAGATGATGAAAAGTTTTATTTTACAACTTGTTTGGATAAAAAAAAAAAAAGCTTTTCATTAAAGGTTAAAACAAATGTTTTCCCAGTTTCAAGATGCAATGAAAACAAATAACTGCAAATACTGTGTGCTCCAGGTAGATGAGTGACTATTAAGAAAGGTAAACATTTGTTCTTTGTTTTAGGTGCTGTTTCTCCCATCAATGCTGTATGGAACAAGTTAAAAAACTTGGGTGCCAGCCAGAGGGAAGTTTGAGATCTGAAGTTGTATGTTTAGATCATAAACCGAAGTGTAAGTTTGGTCAGATGATTAAATGTATGACATTCCCTTTGAGCAAAATTGAGATCAGTATAGAAGCACACAACTAGAACAGAATCACAGAAGTTAGAAAATGGAAAAAAATGTGTTATATTAACAGTGCTCTGTGAGCCATTTGGAATTGGCCTTGCGTAGGGAAAAAAGTGATCAGGTTTAGATCAGGCTTAGCTAGAATGCGCTAGCTAAGCTTGACCTAAACCTGAGCACTTTTCCTAGTTAAGCAAAACCTTGTTGTCCACAGAGCACTGGTGGATCTCAGGGTATGGCTGGCTTCTATCAGTAGGTGGGCACCTGAATGTAAACTGGTCAGTTTCAGAGTGCTAACATCTACAAGTCCCGCTGAAGTCAATGGCAGCTGCAGTTGCTCAGCATCTCTGAAAAAATCAGATTACTTACCATATATTTAGATGCCGAACTATGGATTTAGCAGCCTGAGTTTGAAAACTGTTGTGATAGGCTTTACTATAAGTGGTGTAGCTGACTACATATTTTAAAAACTGCTTACACCAATTACAATTTGCTTTCAGCCATTTTCATCTTTAAAACCTCCTTTTTAAGGCATTGGCTGGAGCATGTGCGAGAAGCTCCTGTGTACCTGTGATAAGACAGCGGCTGAGTGTATGGCTGCCGCCTCTTTCAATGAAAGCTTGAGGTTCCTAACCAGGCAAGCCTGCCAAGAGAACAAAGCCTCATGTCGGAGTGGAATAGCCGAGAGGCCTGCAGGTGACACTGGAATAGGCACCAGAACCTCCAGCTCGGAGGAGAGCAGTGAGGAGGCAGGTCCGTGGAGGAGTGCTTTAAGAAGAATAAAGAGAGCTGCACGACACCCCCGGGGAAAAGCCAGAGCCACACCACAAGAGAGATAGCCAAGTCTCTATAGCCAACTGGGAAATGGCATGGAGGGCTCCAGAGTCAACCACTGTGTGTCCTATTTTATCTTATCTTTGTCAATTCTCTTTTACATTTTCTTGCAGACCCCAGATTGAATTACAGACTAGGTAACGGGTTATATATGTTAGGATATAGAACTCTGTTCTATAGGGAAACCTGCACTAAGGACCATTTCCACCTGTCTTACAAGATTATTTGAAAGTATCCAGTATAGTTTCGTTCAGCTTTTATGTAAAGACCCCTCTGCCAGGTGACTGATTTTTGCTAACACCTCTGGCAGTTGGTTACAATTTATTTTGTTTTGTATTGGAAAGGAGATGTCTCTCGCTGAAAAAAACAAACACAATTGAAGGGTTGGAATTAGAATGTGATACATTTTCACATTACAGGCCACTATATGTAGTTAATACAGAACTCCTCCATGATATTAAAATAGTAAGCTATAAGATGCTATACTAGTTACGTAACTATGGTAAAACATGCTGGTCGATATCCTTCTTGAATATTCAGGGACGTGGTGGGAGGAGATGAGGAACATCTGTCAAGACACGTGTCTCCAAAAATTGTGTAATATGTGCAGATGTCTGCAGTACCTCTAAAGAGGTCACCCACCTAGGCTTCAAGGTGTCACAGAGCACACGTTCTGCCTTCAACAACATGGAGCCCCTTCCTATTACATTTTTGGCCAGCTGGGGCCTTAGTTTCCTGTTCATCCCCATTCTCTGAATTATTTACTTGCCCCACCTCTTACTGGCTTTGCATGCCAATGGGCAACTGTAACATGCTGCAGAGTTTTACAGGTCTCCAATTTCCCTTTTTGTATATTATGTAGAAGGGAGCATAGTGGCATCTTCCGATGAGAACCAGCACACATGGGCCAAATGATATGGGGAAGCCTGCATCTCTACTGGCCATGCTGTGACTGTTCTTTGGAGAAACAACTTCAGCTTCCAGGAATATGGCATGATACCAACAGGACTAATGTAATAGATTTCTCAAATTAAACTACATTTTTCCTTCCTACGGCCCACTGTCGCTCCCATTATGCCATCTGCATGGACTCAGTGGAGATACACTGTCAAACTACAGCAGCAAATCAGCCTCTTTCCTGTCCCGTCCTCCTTTTAGAAAACAAAACAAAACACACCATTGCGAGCTGTAATGAGACCTTTGAGGAGGGAGTGGGAGAAAATTAAAAATCCTTATTCCCAGAATCACTGGAGAATTGAACTGGGACCTATAGTAAATCTAGAGTACTCTGCACTTTTTGCTGCTTTCTGCAGCAGCTAAGATTTATGATGATGATGATGGATGGTTCCAGCCCTTTGCATTGCAGAGTTTTTTGGAAGACTTGCTTAATAGGACAACACTGATTTATATAGGTAAGGCTATCGCTACTTAGACAGCAGCAAAGCAATGAAGGCCATGCAATGAGGTGTTAATTTCAAAGCTTTGATGTGACCAGTTAAATGTTAATACTAGGGAGCAAATTATCTACTTTGCATGTTGTAACCAAGTGGGCCTCAAAATCAAATCTCACTGGGAGTTAAATCAACAGCAGCTTCATTGCTTTGGATGATGCCATATGTTCTGGCACCAATTTTAATCTCATTGCCTCATCTCAGTTCTGACTAGAACCAACAGTGCAATGGGATCAATAGATTTTAAACCCAGAAGGGACCACAAACATCTCCTCTAACCTCTTGCATAGCATAGACCATAAAATGTCAGGCAATGGGACAAGTCAGATGTTTCAGAATGAGTAGGGACGTGTGTATGTTTCAAAGGTCAGGGTCTTGAACAGAACAGGCCGTTCCCTCCAGTCCATTCCGTGCTTTGCAATTCTTGGTGTCCTAAAACTCACGGTAGACATGGAGTTGTGAACAAGAAATTCTCCCTGGTGGCTAAACACACATTTAACCAGTTTGCATGAAAGTGATTTTTTTTTTTAATTCTGACTTTGAATTGTGTATGAAAATAGAAGACAGGTTGCCTGGGATATTTTCTTCATCATCCAAAAAAATCTAAGCAAGTTTTTAGTTTGGAAGTTAAATGAAAACAGTCTCACACTTTTTGATTTATGACCTAAAATATTGACTATAATCTCATCCCATATAGTAGAGTAAATATTTCATTTTTAAGTATTTGCAGAAGATTTCTGGTGCTGCTGTCTTATTATGCTTTAACTTAAATAGATCTATAAAATGACTGACAATCTTTACTACAACTGTTGATTTGATTTTACTGTAAATGTGTGAAATGGATCTTCAAACAGAAAATTAACTTGAAGTAAACAGTTGACAATGTAATAAAACCAAAATGTTTTCAAATGTCACCCCTTTTGAGGCTCCTCTTGAAATGAATGAAGAATTTCCACTAACATTTTTTACAATAAAGACACTTGTTACTAACTTATCATTGCGACATCTTAGCCTTATTATAGTGATTTTTCTGACATTGTTTCAATATTTCCTTTCTAGATTCCTGTTTTAAGGGTCTGCAACTTAATCATAAGAACTTTGCTCTGTGCTGAGTGCAAGGAAGTTGTGTGGTCCAACAATCAGAGCAAAGGCTCTGGAAGCAGAAGGCCTGCGTAGGTTCTTCCACATCATGGAGTTGTTTGACTTTGCCCATGTCATTTGGTCTTTTTGCCTTAGTCAGTATTGTGAGAACGTTAGGTAAATATGCAAAATTCCCTTAAAATCCAATGCTGCATCTGAATGTTCTTTGATAACTAAATATCACAAAACTGAGGTATATATGATCCTTACTATCTTTTTAAAAGAGCAGTACAAGATTAGACCACTGTGAAAAATGCCTCAGTGTGGGGGGCTGGACTAGATGACCTCGCAAGGTCCCTTCCAGTCCTGCATTTCTATGGTAATGATTTACAACATGGAGCAAAACCAGTAGAGAGAGAGCTTACTTCAGTGACAGAGCAGAGGATTACTATGGGTTTGCTGGAGGTACAAGTTACCATCACAGTTCATAATTAAGAAAGCAGCTAGCAAATGTTTAGGGAAATGTCCCACACATAAGGAGTGAAAATCCTCACCTCACAGATGTTAATGGGAGTTTTTCCATTGAATTCTATGGGACCCGGATTTCACCCCAGGACTTTTAGGAAAAGCCCACAAAGGAATAGCAACATGAAAAACTGAAGGGAGGGATAGTATGTGGCTGTGAATCCTCCCTTTAGTGGAAGGAATCACTTCCCTCATTATCAAGTGAGGTATGTACACCTCCTTTTAAAATACAAGATTGGTGAAGAAAACTGATAGAAAGGTCTAAACCTACAAACCCGCACTAACATTTAATCCCAAAAGGTATAAAGGTTGGCAAAGTGGAGGGGTGGCGAAGGGACTTGAGAAATTACATCCACAGGCAAAACCAAACGAACCTCACACATTCCTTCAAGATGCTGGGTCCAATGACCATTTAAATATCCACTTCAGCAAAAAACCAGGATTAATCTACAAAATGTCACTGCCCGTTCTTTTCATCGGACGCTGAGGATGAGCTTTGATACTAAACAATAGGCATTCGTACTCATTTCAGAACTGGACTTTTAGAAGTTATCTTAACGGCCATTTTGGCAGAATGACTGCAAGTTGTTTTCTACCCCACATTTATAAATAAAAAGTGATAACAAAAAGGTCAGTCCGCTAATTAGCTGAAAGGAAAAACTGGCCTTTGAAAGAAATGAAACTGACAATTAGCAAATTCAAATGAGCACAAGCTAATTCCTCTAATATAGATTGATGCTGCTGCTCTGAAACCCTCAGATAAAACTAACGTTTCAAAGGAAGTCCTTTTTGGTAACTGTTAGGATTTAATATTAGATGCAGAACTCTCCAGCTCATAGTGAACACAGTATGTTCATTCAGAGATAAAGTTACATGCCAATAATGCCTCCATCAGCTTTATTTACCTTCACAGACTGCTCCATTCAAATGATCCTTACCGATCTTATGTTAGACAGACTATATTATAAGCGTGTTGCTATTTTACCATGACAGTTAGTAAAGTCACGAATACTTTCTGCGGACATATTCCCCACCTCTGATATTTCATGAAGTATTTAACAGTCACAAAGTCAGTTAACATTACTACTTATATCTAAACCTGTACAAATTATGTCTCCAATCCTGAAAAGAATTTACTCACATGCTTAATTTTACTCACTGAGTAGGCCCACTGAAGTCATTGAGATTATTCAGTGTGTAACGTTAAGCACATGTATAAGCGCTTGCAGGATCAATGCCTATAAAATGAAATCTTAACTGAGCATCAATTGTATTTAATCATCGTTGGAGTTCAGCGAACAGAATCTATCTCCATGATATATATAAACAATTAAATGAAAGCAGAAATCTGTGAAAGGCATTTCTATTTAGGTCCAAACCACACAGTAGCTTTTTACTCTACTTGTAACTGGTAAGGGGTATGGCTGGCTAAAAGCACAGTGTCTCCCCACAGTAGGCAGTGTTAATGCACTTAGCACAATGGGGTCCTGGTCCATGAAGGGCTCCAAAGTAATTAAGAGCTAATGACTGCTTACTGCCTCTGCTAGATAATTAGTCTGGCATGTGATCTGGTTGCTGTAACCATTTAGGCACACTTATTTTTGCCTGTGGCCTAATCAGTGGCATAGACTTTGGAAACGAGTTCAATCAACAGGCCCAGCGGAGTTTGGGAACCCAAACTACATTCAAAGTCCTCTGGCATGTCAGGAATATGGTAATCTTGATAAAAAAAAAATCTGTAGGACTAGCTTTATTTCAAAGCACATTTGCAGTACTGTGACCCCCAAATGTAGATTTCCCTGTGCTGGTGTATGCCCAGGCCGCAACAGTCCTGTGTTCTTGGGTAGTCTCTAAACTGCTAGGGCTACTCTACTACCCAGAATGAAGTTGCTGTCATAGGGTTGGATTTGTTCTGGCGGCTGCTTGTTCATGCAGGGATGGTCTATATTTAAAAGTTAGGTTGACATAACTACAGTAGTCCAGGATGTGAAAAAACCAATACAGCTAACCCCCCTGTGTAGACGCAGCCATGTTGTTGGAAGAATGCTTCTGTGACAGCTACTTTTGTTTAGGAAAGTGATATTCCTACATTGATGGAGAAATCCCTTTCTGTGGGCTAGGCTGGGTGTACACTACAGGGTGACAGCTATGTCAGATCCTCCTTAGTGTAGAGACAGGCCCCCCCCAACCCCCGGCCAAATACAGATGGTCCAGACAGCCATGACATCGTCCTGCCAGTGGGCAGAGCTTGACCTGGCCCAGAATTTGCCCTCATTGTTCAATTTGACATTATAAATGGACAGAAGCCTTTCATTTGTCTTCACCTTGTTGACACATACCACCTCACTCAGAACGTAGCTAACCCTGTCTGCCCTGCATTGCTTCTGGGCTGTCCCACCAACATCCATAAGCTAGTAATCACTGCAATCTGGAGGGCCAGTAAGGGCTCCATGATGCAAAATAGTCACTATGATTTGAGACAGAGGATTATGGGATTTGTGAAAGAAATCCTAGGCATAAAGAGGGGGCGGGGAGGATGGTTCTTATAGATACCATAGTGCAGGGGTCGGCAACCTTTCAGAAGTGGTGTGCCGAGTCTTCATTTATTCACCCTAATTTAAGGTTTTGCGTGCCAGTAATAATGTTAACGTTTTTAGAAGGTCTCTTTCTATAATATATAACTAAACTATTGTTGTATGTAAAGTAAATAAGGTTTTTAAAATGTTTAAGAAGCATTTCAAGAAGAAGAGGGGGAGGGATAGCTCAGTGGTTTGAGCACTGGTCTGCTAAACCCAGGGTTGTGAGTTCAATCCTTGAGGGGGCCAGTTAAGGATTGGGGGCAAAAATCTGTCTGGGGATTGGTCCTGCTTTGAGCAAGGGGTTGGACTAGATAACCTCCTGAGGTCCCTTCCAACCCTGATATTCTATGATTTAAAATTAAATTAAAATGCAGAGCCCCCCAGACCAGTGGCCAGGACCCACACAGTGAGTGCCACTGAAAATCAGTTTGCATGCTGCCTTTGGCACACGTGCCATAGGTTGCCTACCCCTGCCATAGTGCTTAGGCTATCCAGAACGTACCCCTAAAAAAGTTTAAAAATGCTAGGTCGGGGATGAGGGGGGGGGCAAACAGGCTGTGATGGTAGAAAAGCTGTATTTGGACAAAACCTCCAACATATTAACCTGTAACTAAAAGTTGACCATAACTCTAGCTGGTTGCAAAATCATAGTGTAGTGTGGATAGTTTCTTATGTGTGGCTATCAGCCAAAGCTACATTATTCCCTAAAATGACTATAAGAATGAGTTAGATACATGGATGCCCTAAACCACAACAGAGAGACATGTTAGCATCTCTTGCTTGTAGTATAAATATGAAATTGCAGAACTACTAATGGTATCTATAGTAAATAGCATTCCAAATGTGTCATACGTAAAGTGGTTCCCCTCCAGTAACTCTGTATACACGTGCCTGGTTTGAGATGGGGAAAAAAGCTTATATACCTTAAGAGGCTACCCAGAGCCTTAAAGAAAAATCCAATCTACATGGGACGTTCTGCAAAACCGTTCCAGATGTTAGGTAAATATGTGGGATGTTCTAAACTTATTGCTTATGACTCTGTGTGCTTAAATCTAAAACTGCAGTGTTAAATAAGAGCATGCTTACTTGCATTTAATCTTTGATCGGACAGAATTGCGGTGTTCCTACTGATTTATTCCTGACACCGCCTGGAGTGAAATAGTTAAGTTGCCCCTGCTGTGGGTTCTGAAAACCCTGGATAACACATGCTCTGGGTGTCCCTAAACCTCCAACTGCCAGAAGCTAGGACTGGATGACAGGGGATGGATCACTTGAAATTGCCCTGTTTTGTTCATTCCCTCTGAAACATCTTGCACTAGCCACTTTCAGAAGACAGGATACTGGGCTAGATGGACTGTTGGTCTGACCCAGTATGGTCATTCTTATATGCCCTGAGGAATACAATTTAAGTTTTGCTGCTGCCTAATATTTTGTTGAACTTTTCCAACAAATCCCAACTTTATGAAGAAGTGAAATGTTTTGGGTTTGCAAAATAACTATGTCTGTATTAAGTGAAATTTTGTTTTGCTTCTCAACAATAAGCAAGTACTATATTTAGGACAGCACTGATTTCTTAACCTCAAGTATCATACAGTAGTTAATATTGTAACTGTTAAAATTAATTTGTAACAAACTCAGCTATTTTAACTTTTTGGTTTATTTTATTGCTGAAATGTACATTGCACAGTGTATTCTTACATTTCATGAAACTGGCTCAACACTAACAGTACAGAATGTATGGGCATCAATAAAACAGACAAATTAGCCTTACTCTGAACAGGCTAATTTTGTTTCTTCTGAATTAACAATTTTAATTTACCTTAAAATGAACTGCTATCAAAAACCATAATTACTCAAAGTGACATTACATTTAAAAGAATTTAAAGCACAAGCTGGAATACATACAAATGTCAACTGGACATGAAGTGATAAACATTCAAACAGTATTCAAACTGTCACAGACACTACAAGCCCAGTATGCACACTTTGTATTCTAAGCTCTGCAACTCTTTTCAAGACCAGAAAGAAATAAGGGATTCAAAGCAACTGTATACATAAAAACAGCATTCTGAACAATTTGATTTCAAAATACCTACAATTTATTACTTACAGTAAACTATGAGTACAACATATTATGCAGCAGATTTCCACAAATCCTCAATTCTCATCTGTTCAAAGTGGCCACAGTACTCAATTTGCAGACTCTCTGCATTTTCAGCAGGAAAGAAATTATATATCAGGCAAAATTCCAAAAGATTACAGATCTTTAGTTCCTTAACATCTGCACATCCTGAACAAGACTAGTCTGAATTTAGGACATGTGGGAGCCTATCTTGTGATTAAATGAAAAAAATTCTTCGTCAATAGACTTCAAATGAATGGTACATGAAATGCTGAATATAATTTTTCACATGCAGTATACATGCAACAGAATTTAGTTAATCTGAGAAAATTCTGTATTTACACCACAGTCTGCGTACTACAAGAGTGCAAATGAAAGTACATTCTTTATTTCTTATTCTTTAGACTCTTTAATTCTATTTCTTTTTTGTACAAATGTGCACAGTGTTACTTTATAAAAATCACATCAGTGTGGATGATGATTGTTTTACATTGCGTCCCTAGCTTACATCTAATTAAAAAAAATACACTCTGTTTATATAGGTCAAAATCTAATATCTTACCTTAAAAAACAAAAAGTGAAAACTAAAAACTAAGGTGACAACGAGTTCTACTAATGCTGTTGACTCTGGTCTGATCAGGATGATACGTTGCAGCAGTAACAATCACAACGGAATGCTGTAGGTAAGAGGTTGTTTCGTCATCCACTAACAGCTGTGATTGCACTGTCAAACTGAAAAAAAGGTCTCAATTACCTTTCTGAGTTTTGTGAATGCTTCCTGAAAGTCTTGATGTGTCATCTCATAGGTCTAAATAGCTGAAATTTCTCTGGAAATGTGCTATTTCACTCCTTTAAAGATAGTTTAAAGGAACATTGTACTTAAGTTTAAAAATCCAGAAGCCCTACATTTTGCAGCAAGTGTGGAAATTGCAGAGGACAGTTAACATATTGACTAGCTTCCTAATAAATTTATAACAAGAGTTATTAGTTTATTACACTATTCATCTCAGCCCTGACCCATTCAAAGACTTATTAAATTCAAAACCATATATTTAAGTATTGAGAATGTAAGTTGATTACATTAGTTGCTTCAGAAAATCCAGCTAGACCTAGATTACAAAGCTCACTGCTCGCTCATAGCACTGGACTATTAGAACTTTTCATTTTTATGCATAGAATTTCGCAATGGGTCATGAAGACAACATTGTCAATTACCATCAAGGGCCAAGCAACTTACTGTACAGTACAGTTTTATGTACTGAGCTAACAAAAAGTTAGGTTCTGTGTATCTATTTGAAATTTATACTCAGGTATCTAAACCTACGAAAGTTAGCACATCGGTTTTCAATAATCACAGGAAGACTTGTCAAATGCAACAAAAATGTATACAGATATAATTGCAAAATGCTTTTGCTTGAAAACACATCGAAATGTATAACTTTCAAAAGGATTCATCCACAGTTTTCTTTCAATTTGCAAAATATCATTAAAAACCTATTTTACTAAACTACACAGAGCAACATTTCATATAATCTTATCTTCTGTGTTTATAATTTCACAAATGAACTAGTCTTTAAAGTACTTATCCATTTAAAATGCCCTCAGTTTGTTGCTATACTAAATATATATTTATTTGTTGTAATTCAGACAGCAAAATACGACTGCATTTTCAAAAGCATAGTCTGTAAACTATACACACAAGACATGAAAAATATTGCACAAGTCAGAGCTCCAAGAGGAGGGATTTACATCTCTCAAGCAGAACATTGCAACTTTCGGCAGGAAACAGCACATGTGCTGGTTTTCTAAAAAGCACATTATGTTAATCATTCACCAGGAACAATATTTAACAGTTGTCTGGCCAGTCATATTTATTAGTGAAACTGAACAGGTAAAAGGTTGCCTATTTAATGTATTTCAAAATAATGGAATAAATAGCTACTAGACAGCAACAATATAGGGAGCTAAGATATTGCTCCACTGATACATGTGGTAACAGTAAGCACGCCAAATCTGGAAACCCAGGTGGAAGGAAGCCACCAGGCATTGCAGATATAGCCCCCAATTCTAGGAAATTGTATTTCTGTAAACTCATTTTTTAGGTCTCTGAAACACTAGAACACGCTGGCAAAAGAAGAGGAAATATTTACTTCTGACTTTTAAACCTACCAAAATATGAAAAATGACTAAGTGAAATAATAAGGTAACATAACAAACATAACATCAAATATTAGAGAATAGTTAAAAAAAAAACCTGAAAGTTTGGTTAAAAATCATTCCTATGTGCTGTAGGTCCACCATTTTTTCTAAAAAGCTATTTACTTAATCTAAATTAACAAAGAACTTGAAAACTCATCTTGGTCTGTTTATTGTACTCTACTCTAAATAATGTCCTGCAGACTTCAGAAGACACTTAATACACACAAAGATCTGGAAACTTCATCTCATAGACTGGAACGGATTGGTAATGAGCATGTCCAGCAGTAATGGTCATCGTTCCCGAGGGGCTAGGAGGAGGACTGTAAAGAAGGAACGAGAAAACAAAGCCACACAATTGAAGCTTTCATAAAAATATACTTATGTAATCTGTTATTACTTTTAACTTCATAGAGTACCTGCTTGGAAATTTGATATTAAATTTCTTTCCAGCCTTACTGTATCCTTTTCCTACATTTCTAATGAAGCCAAATTATAATGGCTGATTTTTGTTTGTATCCTTGCCTGAATCACCAGTTTCGTTGATGTCAACATAACTATCAAGATAGGGCTTTTGATATACAATATTACTTCAAATGCAGAATAGATGTACATGGCACTTCACAATACAGAGATTGCTAGCTAATTCCCAGAGCACATGCAATAAAGGGAAAATTCAACATTTTTGTAAGCATGACAAATATATATATAAAATACAAATATAAAAATACTCCAGCGCTGTGTTGCCAATATATATTTTCACATCTTTCAGCAAATATTTTTCAAACTTACGCCCAATTCGGTCCACAGTTACATAGGTGGAACTTCCTTAGGGACCCAATTAAACCCTAATTAATGGATACAATCCTCATGGAAGACCTTCAATAATTTTAATGGAAAAAAACAAGTTTTATCCTTAACAACAATACCTTTAATTATATGGTTTGGATAGAAAACAGGGGTTGACCTTTTTAAAACAGAAAATATTTGATGGGCTAATTGGCTAATCTTGACACAGGATATTTGCCTCTAAAAAAAAAAAAAATCAGAATAGTAACAAAATCAAATGCTTTGTAAATGAGGCTATTTCAATAAAGTACATGAGACTAGCATCTTAAAGTAGCACAGAATTTTCTGACAACTACCCCTACTTTTAATTAATTCCCTTTTGTGCATAAAACCTTACCGAATGGTGAGCTCCAATATCTGTGCAAGTCTATCATGAAGAAAGTTTGCCTACAAAGAGAAAAAATTTAAATATTTTAATGATATCCTGTAAAACCACTGTACACAGAATGACTACGAAGAAGAAGCCTGGACTGGTTTAGTGGAATATACTCCGAATTTCAGAGTTTTGCTTCCCTGTTGCAGCAAGGACTCAGTTGTGTGAAGGCAAAAGAATAGCAACTGGGAGTTTAGTAACAAAACTGAAGTAGATTTTTATTTCTTAAAAGATGAGAAGGGGGGAAAAAATGACCCTTCCAGTGAGTTAAAGCATGTTGGCATGATCCAAAAGTTGCATTTACTTGTAATTCCACAATGAAATAATCATGGCTCTGAACCCAGTCTCAGAGGTAGCAAAGGTAAAAGTGTGTGTAGTATGTGTGGGGTGGAGGACAAAGGTCTGGTCTACACTAGAGTTAGGCTGACGTAAGACAGCTTACGTCAACCTAACTCTGCCAGCGTCTACACTACAATGTTGCTCCACTCTATGCAAGTCACCCACTACATTGACTTAACTCCACCTCCGCGAGAGGCGTAGCGCTTTGGTCAATACAGCTGGAGTGTGGGGCACTGACAGCCGCATAGGGCTGATAGCTAGAGTCCCCGACCCCAGTGCTGAAAGTCTAAGCTGTCACCCAACCCCCCCGTCCCCCATCTGCCCCGGGGCTGACAGCCAGAGCTGTCAGCCTGGTGTAGGGCTTAATTTCACAGCAGAGAGCCTACCAGCACTGAAATTGACAGTCTTGTCAGTTTCACAGCTGCTATTATTTCACATTTCATCTCCAGCTCCATCTGTCATCCTTGGGGCTGGAGGCTCCAGCTGTGAGCCCCACGCAAGGCTGACAGGCGGAGCCGGAGAGGAAATGTGAAATCATAGCAGCCAAAAAACTGACAAGAATGTCAGTCTGCTGGTAGGCTTCCTGCTGTGAAACTGAGCCCTGCACAGCTCACAGCTGGGGCTGTCCGCCCTGGGGCAAGGAGCTCCATCTGTGAGCCCCATGAGGCTGTCAGTGCCCACACAATGCCCTACTTCAGTGGGTGCAAGTACTCTTGGGGAGGACGTGCACCATCGGCAGAAGGAGGGCAGTGTGGATACCAACAGCTGATTTAATTGCTACGGTGGTTGTAGGTCCTGGTCTATAACTAGGGTCCCTGGTCACTAAAACAATACAAATAATAAATAGTAATAATAATAGCTCTGTGAGATGTAGGGGACCCAACCACTCAGGGTATAAGTAACTTTGATTTCCTACACAGATTAAAAATTCAGAGCACAGATGAAGGCAAAAAGGCAACAATTGTTTTCTTTTAACAGTAAACACTATCATAAACCACCCTTTATCCTTGTGTCTCCATCACCACTTGTACGGAAGCCTTTGAAACAATATAAAATGTACCAAGTACTCACTTTTGTTTCACACTGTGCTGCAATTTCTTCAAAAGGTGCTTTTTGGAACTTTTCAATCACAAGACGCCTCTTTTCTTTCTCCTGCTCTTCAAGTCCAGTATTATCTTTTAAAAAATGAAGACAGTTCTAATTTATGCTTATATAGACTGCCTACAATAAGTGAAATGACAATACATTTAGAGGTTTGTGTGTCTTCACTTTTTATTACTACTACTTAAAACGAAGACATAAGACTAGAATATTTTAAACGAATAGTAAAAAGTAGCCACAGCTTAGGCAGACTTATTGAATAAAGTTCTAGTTAGTCAAATTCCCTGTAATAATGGAACATGCACTTGAGAATCAGTGTAAAAAAGTCAACACAACATCATATCCTGTGGTTCCAACTCAGTTCCCACTCAGCCCATCAGTAGGAGTTTTGCCCGAATAGGGACTGCAGGATTTGCCCAGTAAGTTATTGTTTGAGCACAGGAGGTCACCACAGATGCAGTGGAATGTGGTCCAAACTTCATCCAGTGGCCATGTTCTTGGGTTTATAGTATTAAACTATGCAATCCGTTATCCATCTTTTGCTATTTTCTTGCCCTTACACTTGGGGGCAATAAGCTGAAAACAGGTGCTAAGTCTTTGTGCAGCTTGTTTTTTTCAATATACTTGAATTAGTACCGATTCCCAGTTTTTCAAGTGTACACAAGACCATCAACTCCATATACTATTCTTTTTTTTTTTTTTTTAAATAGTCAGCCTAACAAATTTAACCTGAGACCAGAAAGTCAACTTGGACTCCTTTATTTTCATGCATCATAACCAGCAGTAAAGAGTTTGCACACCAAGTTATACCCTCAGTAACACCCTGTTGTCTTGTAAGTATGTTCCAAGTTACACTTTGATATGTGCATGGGCATAGTTTAACTTGCATAATCTTTATTACTGGTGGTGAGGGTTAGAAGGAAGAACTCAGCTGCATTTTCAGACCCTAGGTTAAGTTTGCCGAGTTGGCAGTTGGAAAAACACCTTTTTAATCATAAATGGAGCGTATCTGACAACGGAACTCCTCTGAATCCCACAATGCTAATTTCACACGCTATACTCAGAGAATTCCCTTTGAGGACTTGACCATTTGTCACTATATTAAAGGTGCTTTACAGATATTTACTTAACTGAAATTCACACAGACTAAGGATAAAACTATATGTGAATTGCTTAAGTGTTTTTCAAGCCTTGACCTGTAAAGGGAAAGTTCCAGAAACCATTAAAAATAAGAATTCATTTACCAGCTTTTCAGTAAGTCACACCAGCTATAGGTAAAGAGAAGAGTTCTCTAAGAAATGCTGAAGATCATTTAAGGGGTTTGTGGTTTCAAATCAACCTGCTATATGATGAAAAACTAATATACTATTTTAAGTATGCTATGTTAGCAAAGCTTTTTTCTGGCAAATATTTCATGTACTGGAGAAGTGTAAATGTAGTATTGCAATAAATCTCACCAATTGCTTTCTTCAAAGCTTCAAAGGTGATTTCTTCAGTATTATTGACCTAAAGGAAATAAGTGATTTTTAATTCAGTGAAACAACACAAACTGCTGAAGAATAAGTAATTTGTCTATACTCAACTATAATTTCAAAAGGGACTTAGGAGCCAAAATCCCAATGGGCACCTAAGTGCCTAAATCTCCTTTGAAAAATGAGATTTAGGCTCCTCAATCAGTTGAGCATTGCAACATTGAGTGCAGCAACACCTAAATACCTTTTAATGTTTTTAGCCTAACAGAGTTTTTATTTAAGAGACAGATTACTGTGAATACATAAAGTAGTCTTATATTTCTTCACCATCGCAATGACTTGCTGTGTGATTGCAAATCTTTTGTCTTCTGCATTATATTAATGTTTAGTGATTCACCTATTTTATTATAGACAGAGCTGGTAGTTGCAGCCATACTTATGGTTGCCTGACACTTCATTAAGACACATTTTTCAGTTGCCTATACGTTTACAAAATTAACTATTTGTGCTGAAATGCCTCAGGTTGATTTTATTTATTTATTTATTTAGGTAAATTTCAGCAAAAAGAATTCAGCAGCTTCTGGGAATGAGAGTAAGGAAAAATACATTTTACCTAGCACCTTCAGGCTTTGTAACACGGACTTGAAATTTGCCACAGGGTGGCCTGTGTGTCAGTATGTGCTTTTTGCTGCTGGGGAAAAAAACAAAACAAAACAACCCTGCCAAGTTATAAGCCCGTGAAAAACTGCAGTTTGCACATGCTCAGATGAGACTTGTTAACATTCTTTTTACATTTTTTTGCCTGAACTGAGCATGTTCCACTGCAGGGCTGAGCAGGACTTTCCCTACAATTGCTGTTCTCGGCTGCTATGGGTGGCTATGGAACTGGGCACCTGAACAGAGAAGGAGACTCTGTTCTATGCTCTCAATACTCTGCCTACTGCCACCCAGGCAACGTGAAGGAGGAAACTGACTCAAATAGAGAGGACACAAAAGCCTGACCTCGAATTCGGAGAAGGAATGTGGTGAAATACAGAGGAAGGAGCAGACTGGAACAAAGAGCATGGTGCGGGAAGGAAAGACTGGGGCTCAGAACAAGGGAAGTTAGGCCCTAGGGACTGACTATGCCAGAAAACTGGGAGCTGGGTGGAGAAGAGGGGAGGCTGAGACTGTGAACCAGTTTAGGGACAGGATGGAGGTGGTGTGGGCACTAGGACAAGCTAGGCAAGGAGAATGGGACACTGAGCTAAGGGCTCTAACTATCCCAAGTTGCACACCTAAAATTAGTGCACACTTTTGACCTTACTTTCTGTGCCTCAGTTCCCCATCACATAGGGGTATGTGAAAAATAGTTAATATTTGAGCAACATCCCCCCTGTGCACTGAATGAGGCAGGAGTCCTGTGAAAACTAGGATGTGATCAGATAATTAAAGACTATCATAATGCAGGGGGAAGGAGAAGGAATTAAGGCTGCGCAGACACTCTTAGTTCTTGTATTTCTTAACTATTGAGCTTGAGACCATAATGTTCTTTCAACAGATTTAGAATTATACACACAAAAATTAATAAGAATTCAGTTAGGACATCAGCATTTACACCCCTGCTCTTGTGAGGGTGTAAATGCTGCTTCTCTTTAGCACTCATAGAAAATTGGGAATTAATTACTTTTCATCTTTGTGTTACACATTTCCTGACAAGCTAGAAGTAACAGAAACAGCGTACATTTTATGCTTAGCACACTTTTTTTTTTTTTTTTGGAGGGGGTGGGGGTAAATTTCCACAGTCACTGGAAAGTGGAATATCTATTCAGAACACTTCAGTTAAGAAGTCTAAGGCCTGGTCTACACTAACCTCCCAATTCGAACTAAGGTACGCAACTTCAGCTACGTGAATAACGTAGCTGAAGTCAACGTACCTTAGTTTGAACTTACCGCGGTCCACACGCAGCAGGCAGGCTCCCCCGTCGACTCCGCATACTCTTCTCGCCGAGCAGGATTACCGGAGTCGATGGCGAGCACTTCTGGGTTCGATTTATCACGTCCAGACAAGACGCGATAAATCAATCCCAGAAGATCGATTGCTTGCTGCCAAACCAGCGGGTAAGTGTAGACATACCCTAAGACTTGTCCCAACAGTTAGTCATAATGTAGCCTTTCTGCAAGATAAGTAGTCTCAATCCCTGTACCTTATGTCTGTATCTTTTGTTTGATTCTATCAATTCTTTCCTTTGCCTTAAAATAGTTTATTATACATTCCTGAAAATAGAAACGACAAGATATAAGACTTATTTACGATACACAATGTGTGGAATTTCTCTCTTCCTGTGTTCAGTTCCCATAGTAAGACGTAATGTCTCATAATATATTACACAGAAATTTAGCATATAATTAGTGTTCCCTCAATACGTTACACTGGCTGAAAGGTAACTATCTAGAAGTTTCATTGAAACAGTAGCCCATATTAATTGTCAAAAATAACTCAAATATTGTAATGTACTTCAGCTTCAATAAACTAGATAATAAAAATCTTTACTTCTGAAGAGTTACAAAATAAGACATGCAAGACAAAAGATTTTGTGAGAGTTTCTCTGGAAAAGTTTCATTCTGTAGGTTGTCTCTTTATGCAAGAAATACTTCCTAGGATACCTTGTTTTTCCACATACCTTATCCTCTGTGTTGTTGCCAGGCAGAATATCCACCTGAATAGATACTGTGTCCACAACGCTCTTCCTTCTGGAGAGTCTATCTTCATCTAGACAAAAATAACATTTTTAATTTTTTCTATCAGTGATTAAAAAACAAAAAAAAAGGTAAATTCATGTTTCCTCACACAGCTGTGGATGTGTTTTCCCCTGCCTCTATAGCCAAGTTCATCTATTTTATCAATAGGATATTTGTAAAAAGTATGACAAAGTTGCCTTCTGTATTAGTGATTTTAAAATTCTTCCAAAGTGTCACACAAGTTAAGAACTATAACAACCATGTAATACCATCACATACATTCTACACTTCTAGACCACAAAAGTTGAATTCTGAAGAGTTGTTTGTAATTTAAAATTCACGTTTTTAGGCCTTAGTTTAGAGGTGTCTTGAAACACAAAAGAGCTCTTCCACAGATGGTTCAGATGGCTCTTTGCAGAAAGGAACAGTGTGGGAGAAGAAATATTTCTTCCCCTGCTGCCACTGATCTGATGAACATAAGAGTGTAAGAATGGCCATACTGGGTCAGACCAAAGGTCCATCTAGCCCAGTATCCAGTTTTCTGACAGTGGCCAATGCCAGATGCCTCAGAGGGAATGAACAGAACAGGGCAATAATAGAGTGATCCATCCCGTTGTCCTGTCCCAGCTTCTGGGAATTAGAGGGTTAGATACCCCAAGAGCACTGGGTTGACTATATCGGCTAGCAGCCATTGATGGACCTATTCTGCATGAGTTTATCTAATTTTTGGAACCCAGTTATACTTTTGGCCTTGACAACATCCCTGGACAAAGAGTTCCACATTTTGACTGTGTGTTGTGTGAAGAAGTACTTCTTTATGTTTCTTCTAAAACGGCAGCCTATTAATTTCATTGGGAGACCCCTGGTGCTTGTGTTACACGAAGGGGTAAATAACACTTCCATATTCACTTTCTCCACACCATTCATGATTTTAATGGACCTCTATCATATTCCCCCTTAGTTATCTCTTTTCTAAGATGAACAGTCCTAGTCTTTTAAATATTTTATCAGATGGAAGTTGTTCCATACCCCTAAGCATTGGTGATCTTCCTGAAAACACCATCCTGGCCACCACGGATGTAGAAGCTCTTTACACCAATATTCCACATGAGGATGGACTACAAGCTGTCAAGAACAGTATCCCTGATGAGGCCACGGCACACCTGGTGGCTGAGCTTTGTGACTTTGTCCTTACCCACAACCATTTCAGATTTGGGGACAACTTATACCTTAAAGTCAGAGGCACTGCTATGGGTACCCGCATGGCCCCACAGTATGGCAACATTTTTATGGCTGACTTCTTAGAATCATAGAATATCAGGGTTGGAAGGGACCTCAGGAGGTCATCTAGTCCAACACCCTGCTCAAAGCAGGACCAATCCCCAGACAGATTTTTGCCGCAGATCCCTAAATGGCCCCCTCAAGGATTCAACTCACAACCCTGGGTTTAGCAGAACAATGCTCAAACCACTAAGCTATCCCTGCCGCCCCCCCACTTAGAACAATGCTTCTTCAGATCTAATCCCCTACCGCCCCTCCTCTACTCGTGCTACATTGATGACATCTTCATCATATAGACCCACAGGAAGGAGACCCTTGAAGAATTCCACCTGGATTTCAACAACTTCCACCCCACCATCAACCTCAGTCTGGACCAGTCCACACAAGAGATCCACTTCCTGGACACTAGTGCAAATAAGTGATGGTCACATAAATACCACCCTATACTAGAAACCTACTGACCACTATACTTACCTACATGCCTCCAGCTTCCATCCAGGACACACCACACGATCCATCGTCTACAGCCAAGCCCTAAGATACAACCGAATTTGCTCCAATCCCTCAGACAGAGACAAACACCTACAAGATCTTTATCAAGCATTCTTAAAACCACAATACGCACCTGGGGAAGTGAGGAAACAGATTGACAGAGCGAGACGGGTACCCAGAAGTCACCTACTACCGGACAGCCCAACAAGGAAAATAACAGAACACCACTGGCCATCACATACAGCCCACAGCTAAAAACCTCTCCAGCACATCAACGATCTACAACCTATCCTGGAAAACTATCCCTCACTCTCACAGACCTTGGGAGGAAGGCCAGTCCTCGCTTACAGACAGCCCCCCAACCTGAAGCAAATACTCACCAGCAACTACACACCACACGACAGAAACACTAAGCCAGGAACCAATCCCTGTAACAAACCTCGTTGCCTACTCTGTCCCCATATCTATTCTAGTGATACCATCAGAGGACCCAACCACATCAGCCACACAATCAGGGACTGATTAACCTGCACGTCTACTAATGTGATGTATGCCATCTTGTGCCAGCAATGCCCCTCTGCCATGTACATTGCCCAAACCGGACAGGTCTCTATGTAAAAGAATAAATGGACACAAATCAGGACATCAGGAATGGTAACATACAAAAGCCAGTAGAACACTACTTTAATCTTCCTGGACATTCTATAACAGATTTAAAAGTAGCCATACTTGAACAAAAAAACTTCAGAAACAGACATCAAAGAGAAACTGCTGAACTAAAATTCATTTGCAAATTTAATGCCATTAATTTGGGCTTGAATAGGGGACTGGGAGTGGCTGGGTCACTACAAAAGCAACTTTCCCTCTCCTGGAATTGACACCTCCTCATCAATTATTGGGAGTGAACTACATCCATCCTGATTGAATTGGCCCTGTCAACACTGGTTCTCCACTTGTGAGGTAACTCCCTTCTCTTCATGTGTCAGTATAATAATGCCTGCATCTGTAATTTTCACTCCATGCATCTGAAGAAGTGGGTTCTTTACCCATGAAAACTTATGCCCAAATAAATCTATTAGTCTTTACGGTGCCACCAGACTCCTTGTTTTTTCTAAGCATTTTTGTTGTCCTTCTCTCTACCTTTGTCAAGTTTAATATATCTTTTTTGAGATTGGGTGACCAGAACTGCACACTGTATTCAAGATTTGGGTGTACCATGTATTTATATAGTGGCATTATGATATTTACTGTCCTATTTTCTAACCCTTTCCTAATGGTTCCTAAAATTGTTAGCTTTTTCAACTGCTGCTGCATACTGAGCAGATGTTTTCAGAGAACTATCCACAATGACTCCAAGATCTCTTCCTTGAGTGGTAACGGCTAATTGAGACCCCATCGTTTTGTATATATATTTGGGATTATGTTTTCCAATGTGCATTACTTTGCACTTATCAACATTGCATTTCATCTGCCATTTTGTTGCCTAGTCACCCAGTTTTGGTAGACCCCTTTGTAACTCTTTACAGTCAGCTTTGGACTTAACTATCTTAAATAATTTTGTATCATCTGCAAACTTTGCCACCTCACTGTTTATCCCTTTTCCCAGATCATTTGTGAATATGTCGAATAGCACTGGTCCCAGTACAGATCCTTGGAGGACCTTGCTATTTACTTAACTCCAGTGTTAAAACTGACCATTTATTCCTACCTTTAAATCAGTTACTGATCCATGAGAGGACCGTCCTTCTTATCCCATGACTGCTTACTTTGCTTAAGTGCCCTTGATGTGGGACCTTGTGAAAGGCTTTCTGAAAGTCCAAGTACACTATATCCACTGGATCACCTTTGTCCACATATTTGTTGACTCCCTCTATGAATTCTAATAGATTAGTGAGGCATGATTTACCTTTTAGAAAAGCCATGATGCCTCTTCCCGCAACATATTGTGTTCATCATCGTGTCTGATAATTCGGTTGTTTACTAAAGTTTCAACTAATTTGCCTGGTGCTGAAGTTAGGTTTACTGACCTCAATAGCCAGGATTGCCTCTGGAGCTTTTGTTTGTTTGTTTTTTGGGGGGGCGGGGGGGAGAGAACAATCGGAGTTACATTAGCTATCCTCCAGTCATCTGGACATAACTTGCTGGACATAAAACTTAGTTTACAACATAGGTTCTCAGTCTGGTTACACAACCATTTCCCTCCTCCTTTCTTGTTATTGCATCAAGAGGCACTTTTGAAAGTTTAACTGCCTGCAAAATTTGTTGGAATGTAAGACTGATTACACTTTTTGTTAAGAGTATGGTAGTTTCATTAATGCTAGAGGGAGCAGTAGAATTGCATTTAATAGGGAACATTCAGGACTCAGTGCCAAATCTGACTCAGTGTTTTGCTATACATTCGATTCGATTTTCCATTCTCCTCCACTCCTTCCCATGAGTCTTGTAATATGACAGTATAGCTGGGACATAGTGCATGGGTAATTACTTACCTACTCATGTCTTGTTCCAAATTTTTATAAGAAAAAGTGCTTGTGGAAGCTCATGAATGGAAAACTAAGGCCCTCTAGATTTATGCATGGAAGAATTATATCATTGGCTGCCACAATCTTCTTTGTGTTGCTCTGGCTGAAGTTCCTCAACCCTGTTCTAAAAGGTCCAATTCTACAGATTAAGTTAGCTCAGACTTCATGGCTCATTCAATTCTTGACTTCTTCTAAGATTGCTGACAAGGGTGCCAATTATGATGCGGAAACCTGAGGCCTATCACCACCAACCTATATAATACAGGCCGTGCAATAGTCACATGGCAAAGATGTATTAATGTATGGCAAGGGAGGTCCTCCACATCCCTAGTGGAGCTCTGAATCCCACACATCACATGTAGAAGACCTCACTTTCTGAATTCCCCAGCATTATTACTCCTTAATTGACCACATGTTTGAGCAACATGAAATGCTTCCCCTACCCATGTTGGCTCAAGGTTCTGAATACTAGGCCTGAGACTTACTACATTTCCTGAGTGTTGAATTTGTTACTGTTCCCACTTATTAATTTAGTTTTGTACTTTTCTACATTCATCTCATTTTCCTTTGCAAACACAATATTGTAGTATAAAGCACACACTCAAGCACTCCTTTCAATAGCTTTCCATTGGCTTCCTGTGTCTTCAGAAAAACAAGAAATATGGTTCAATATAGTCTTAAAAATAAAATAGGATTAGTTTTATAGCATAAAAAGGGCAGAGTGAAGAACAAAACA